GTGCATATACATGACATGGAGATCCTGGATATTTCAACTAAATGCAATCACAAGATAATAATTTGGATTGAAACTCTTGGCAAATATTGAACATATATGTGAGAAGAAGAGTGACATGGGTGTCTGGCGATGAGGGAAGTGAAATGTGGTAAGGACTGGTCATTGTTCACCAAATGGTTTCTCTTTCTCCTGAAATGATCAGTCTTTACCGCATTCCACATTCCATATTTTCTAACTCCTCTTAAAGTTAGGTGTGGTCATTGGACTGAAATGTCTTCAATAGAATGAGACCAGAAATGATATACAATACAGCTTGTTTTGACTTCAGATGCCTTGCACCTGCAATCCTCCAAGCTTTTTCTTCCCACTGGTATAGAGCGTTAGAATGCTAGAGGAATAAGAGGCAGAAAATGGAAGGAGCATGGGTCTCTTCAACACCATTCAGAAAATAACTTCCTGCCAGTGATTAACACTAGTCTTTTTATTTTAATTGAGAAATAAATATATATGACATTGGAACCATTTGTTAGGCACATCAGCTAGTGTACCTAAATGAATACACTAACTTTGAAAATAACAAAATGAAATCTTAAATATCAAGTCATTATTAGGGTATACGTTGATATTATTAGATGACCTAAAAATATATATAAATTTACTTGTCTTCTGCCATTATAAAACTTTATCTTCTTTATGGCATTTAAAACGATGAGTGCCATTTTATTTTAATGACTGTTGTGATAAATATGCTACTTTGAAAACATAATAAAATAGGGGTTCTTTACATTAAAATTTCCAGTTAGCAGAATTAACTACAACACATACTTCTAATATCAAATCAAGCATAAACAATACAGGCCAAGCGTGGTGGCATATGCCTATACTCCCAGCACTTTGGGAGGTCAAGGTGGGCAGATCACTTAGGGTTAGGAATTCAAGACCAGCCTGGCCAACATGGTGAAGCTCCGTCTCTACTAAAAATACAAGAATTGGCCGGGTGTGGTGGCACATGCCTGTAGTCCCAGCTACTTGGGAGGCTGAGGCACAAGAATAGCTTGAACCTGGGAGGTGGAGATTGCAGTGAGCTATTACATCACTGCACTCCAGCCTGGGCAACACAGCAAGACTCTGTGTCAAAAAGAAAACAAAACATAAACAATGTAAATGTCATGTTATTTTTTCCATATAAGTTTGATTGTAACTAAATTACCTCTTGAATGCTCACTGTCCATCTGTTATCTCCTTTATAAGTGAAACCAAAGTGGATGATTGAAGGAAATGAATTATAACAACACCATCAGAAATACACTTCAATTTAACTCTGTGGGAGAAGGCAGTTCACCTCTTATTTATACCAGATAAAGTACTCCTACAGAATTCATTCTAACACGGTATCTTTAGCACAATTAAAAATTAACAAAGACTTTTGCAATAAGTATGTAAACTGTAGCTCTACCACCAAGTGCTAAGCACTTTACCTGGATTCAACACCTAATTCTCACAAGGATCCTCACCGATACCATGATGCTGCTTTACAGAGATCTGAGTTAAAAGAGGCTCTTATCACATGCCTGATACTCATACACTCATTGTTGGAGCAGATATTGAACTCAAGCAGTTTGACTCCACAGTCCAAACTGAACCACATTCTATGTGTTGGAATAACCTTAACTATAAGCTCAGCAGGAGAAGGTAGGCATCATTACTTTTATTATCACAAAGAAAGAGCTCAGAGTTTTAGCCATTTTCACAAAGATGAAGAACCATCAGTAAATCTGTTAATGTCATGTTTCTCACTATCAAAAAAGATTGCTTATGGCATCAATATAAGAAAATGATTTTTTAAATTTCTTTAATTTAATTTTATTTTTTAATTTTTTTTTAATTGCATTTTAAGTTTTCAGGTACATGTGCAGAACGTGCAAGATAGTTGCAAAGGTACACACATGGCAGTGTGTTTTGCTGCCTTCCTCCCCTTTACCCACAATTGGCATTTCTCCAGGCTATCCCTCCCCAGCTCCCCCCTGCTGTCCCTCCCCTATTCCCCCCAATAGACCCCAGTGTGTATTACCCCCTTCCCTGTGTCCATGTGTTCTCATTTTTCCTCACCTGCCTATGAGTGAGAATATGTGGTATTTCATTTTCTGTTCTTGTGTCAGTTTTCTGAGAATGATGTTCTCCAGATTCATCCATGTCCCTACAAACGACACGAACTCATCGTTTTTGATTGCTGCATAATATTCCATGGTATATATGTGCCACATTTTCCCAGTCCAGTCTATCATCGATGGGCATTGGGGTGGGTTCCAGGTCTTTGCTATTGTAAACAGTGCTGCAATGAACATTCGTGTGCATGTGTCCTTATAGTAGAACGATTTATAGTCCTTTGGATATATACCCAGTAATGGCATTGCTGGGTCAAATGGAATTTCTATTTCTAAGGCCTTGAGGAATTGCCACACTGTCTTCCACAATGGTTGAACTAATTTACACTCCCACCAACAGTGTAAAAGTGCTATTTCTCCACAACCTCTCCAGCATCTGTTGTCTCCAGATTCTTTAATGATCGCCATTCTAACTGACATAAGATGGTATCTCAATGTGGTTTTGATTTGCCTCTCTCTATGACCAATGATGATGAGCATTTTTTCATATGTTTGTTGGCCTCATGTATGTCTTCTTTTGTAAAGTGTCTGTTCATATCCTCTGCCCACTTTTGAATGTTTTTTTTTTTTTTTTTTTTTTTTTTTTTTTTTTTTTTTTTTTTTTTTTTTACTGTAAATCTGTTTGAGTGTAAATTCTGGATATCAGCCCTTTGTCAGATGGATAAACTGCAAAAATTTTTTCCCATTCTGTTGGTTGCCGATTCACTTTACTGACTGTTTCTTTTGCCATGCAGAAGCTGTGGAATTTCATTAGGTCCCATTTGTCTATTTTGGCTTTTGTTGCCAATGCTTTTGGTGTTCTGGTCATGAGGTCCTTGCCTACTCCTATGTCCTGAATGGTTTTGCCTAGATTTTCTTCTAGGGTTTTTATGGTGCCAGGTCTTATGTTTAAGTCTTTAATCCATCTGGAGTTAATTTTAGTGTAAGGTGTCAGGAAGGGGTCCAGTTTCTGCTTTCTGCACATGGCTAGCCAGTTTTCCTAACACCATTTATTAAACAGGGAATCCTTTCCCCATTGCTTGTTTTTGTCAAGTTTATCAAAGATTGTATGGTTGCAGATATGTTGTGTTGCCTCCGATGCCTCTGTTCTGTTCCATTCGTCTATATCTGTGTTTTGCTACCAGTACCATGCTGTTTTGATTACTGTAGCCTTGTAGTATAGTTTGAAGTCTGGTAGTGTGATGCCTCCTGTTGTGTTCTTTTTGCTTAGAATTGACTTGGCTATGTGGGCTCTCTTTTGGTTCCATATGAAGTTCATGGTAGTTTTTTCCAGTTCTGTGAAGAAAGTCCATGGTAGCTTGATGGGGATAGCGTTGATTCTGTAAATTACTTTGGGCAGTATAGCCATTTTCATGATATTGATTCTTCCTAACCATGAACATGGAATGTTTCTCCATCTGTTTGTGTCCTCTCTTACTTCGTTGAACAGTGGTTTGTAGTTTTCCTTGAAGAGGTCCCTTATGTTCCTTGTAAGTTGTATTCCTAGGTATTTTATTCTTTTTGTAGCAATTGTGAACGGCAGTTCGTTCTTGATTTGGCTCTCTTTAAGTCTGTTATTGGTGTATAGGAATGTTTGTGATTTTTGCACGTTGATTTTATATCCTGAGACTTTGCTGAAGTTGCTTATCAGTTTCAAATAGGAAAGGTGGAAGCCAAATTGTCTCTATTTGCAGACGACATGATAGTATACCTAGAAGACCCCATCACCTTAGCCCAAAAACTCAAGAAAATGATTTTTAATGTATAATTAAAAATACAATAGTGAACTTTTTCTATCCACATCACCAGACATATTTCAGTAAAAATAAAAATCCATAATTATTCAAATGTCCTCATATAAATCATCATAATATATTAAGAAAAAAGATAAACATTTATTAATGAAGCTCAGTGCTGGATGTAAAATCACATATTTTTAACTAGTTAATAAAGGATGAGCTGAAAATGATAACCTGCACTTTGGAAGCATCAAGACAGATGAGCCAAAGCTGAGACTATAAAGCCTCAAAAGGGATATTCTAGTCTTCCTCCTGAATAGGTTGAGGTGTCATTTTTTTTACAGCATGTTTTCTTTCAACCTGATACAATTTGCTTAAAGGCTACTATACTTAGACTGTTTTAGCTGATACAGAGGACAAAAGTCCAGTGGCCCAGGGGTCTTTAGAGATAATTTGTAAGCCCAAATTGGAAAGATATTAATTAAAATGAAAGCTATCCAATGTGATTTTAAGTGATAGACAGAGGAACCCCAGCATTTTCACAAAACACTTGACCTTCATACAATGAGGCTATTATAAATAGATCTTGTACATCCACACAGTCATAATGCGATACCCAATATGTGTGCTTGTCAGTATCATGATATCAGTGATGACTTTTAAAGTCTCTAGCCTCAGTTATTTTCTAAAACACAGTAAAAAATATGGAGGCCCACTCCTTACTGTGAGTAAGGAGCCAGATGTAGACTTTTTGTTCCATTTGGTGGCTGGCATCTAACCACTCAAGCAAGTAATGTTGAATTTACTTAATTTGGATGGTAAATTTAATCTGAGTATTTTTTAGAGAAACACCTGAAGGTGACTGGCAGAAGCATCTCCCATATGTGGACACTTCTCCTGTAACAACTGCACCATAACTTGGACAAGCAGACTTCTGTCTCATTGGTAGGACTTCAGCCCCACACACCCGTCCATCTGAGAACTCAGCATTTACAGCAACCTTGAATAAGTTTGTTTAGTTATTTCAAAAGAGAAAATATATTTCTATGTTCCAACACTTTCCAGCATTTTAAGAAACAACTAAAATAGTTACTACTGTAAGAAATTAGGAGCTTACAATCTGATAGGGACTGTACAGAGTACTGCACATCTGATGAAAGTCTTGAAGCATGAAGTGAGAATTTGAATTTTTCTCTTTCTCCATCTTTACCTCTCTTCTTTCCAATGTCTTTTACATCTGCTTTCTCTAACATATGAAAAATAAACAATAAATATTTTAACTAGAAAACCTCAGATTATATTTCTTATTCAGTCATTGTCTTCAAGAAAAAAAGGCCAAAATAATAGTACTATTTAAATATAAAATGATAGCCATAATTTCTCTAAAATGCAATCCCCTCTAATTAGAAACACCACAATAAAGCCAGGAAGAACTTTGAAAATTGAGATATATTATGAAATAAATGCAGCATTACTTATTATCTACTGCAAATAATATTGTTTCATGAAGTTAATTACTTGAATATATTTTATTTATATAAAATTATGGTATCAAGGTAATTTTCTCATTTTAAAAACAAAACAAAACACATTCTGAAAGTTAAGTCCTAAATGGGGAACCCTCTAAGATTTTCCTTATTTGTGTCCTCCACTTAGAGGAAACACAGTTTTCTGACTCCAAAATGTTTTCCTGTGGCACCCAGACTGCGATTGGTTCCAAACTAGCCTCTTATTGCCTACATGTCTTGGGTAACAAAACTCTTCTGTCCAGAATTATTCCCACCATTTGAATTCTCATTCACATACTCAATCTCTAAAACATGTTTTTCTTCAACTTAAAATACTTTTCCTGAATATTTATTTTTATTTTCTAACAGATCTCTCTCAATTCTGAGACAGAAATAATAGATTTCTGCCATTTCATTCTCTGCATCATCTGCAATGTTTGTAATCATCATTGGTCAGGTTGCTCATTTTTAAAATTTTCATTAATAAAAACTGTGACATCTACTTATAATGTTTCTGAGTCTCCAAAGTAGATATGATTCATTTCTTAGCTTACTATTATTGTTTTTTGACAGGGTTTCATTTTTTCCCTGAGGCTGGAGTGTAGTGGCTAGGTCTCAGATGACTGCAGTCTTGACCTCCCAGACTCAAGCGATTCTCCCAATTCAGCTTCCTGAGTAGCTGGGACTACAGGTGCCCACCACCACATCCTTCTAATTTTTCTTCTTTTTTATAGAGATAGGGTTTCACCATGTTGTCCAGGCTGGTCTTACTCTGGGCTCAAGTGATCTGCCAGCATCAACCTCTCAAAGTGCTGGGAATACAGGCATGAGCAACTCTGCCCAGCCCATATCTTAGCTTTTTCAGTAGACTTAACACTAAATTAGATATAAACATATAACTAATTTATCTTAACTATATATAACTTAAAATATATCTTAACTATAACTTTAATCATAGGATGAAACATTTAACTAGGAAATTTAGGTTTTAAAAAAGTTTGTTTTCAGAATTTTATTTTGTGCATTTTCTATATATATACAACCTTAATTCAATAAAACTAATTTTAGGTAGCAATACTTGAATGCCTGTATAATTTTCAAAGAGACTTTAAAAGCTTTTAAACTTCTATTCAGCATTTTTGACTTAAAAATAATACATAATACAAATTATAAATAGAAAAAATCAAACTGTTTCACATAGAAATTTGGATAGTATACAACAGTCCTCACCAAAATGTGTTTTTGCCAATACCCTAAATAAGATTGCTCCTCTGTCATTTCATCCTACCCATCTGGCAAAACCCCACTCTGAATTAACTTGGCAGCTGAGGCCCACTGGAGATAATCCTCCTCTAGTTCTGCAAACCTTGCCATATCTATTTTAAATCTCTGTGAGAATCGACATCTTCCACCTCCACCTCACTTTCATCTCATAGCTAGGCTGTGTATAAACAAAAAGTAGAAGTCTTTGGTTGGAAGTCCTCATCTTCTCCTAGCAAACCCGTTTACCCACCTATACCTGTATCCTCCCCCATGACCTGTGCCCACCTATGACAATGGAGGAGCCATTGGTCTCCCCAGGTTGGCCCAGTTCCCTTCCAGCTGGGGTGTAGAGCTTGCTCCTTCTTCTCAGAAAACTTACACTATTGCAGTCATCTCAGCAGGATCTTCCCAGTGATCACTTTAAAAAACTCAATTCTCCTTCACTAGATTCACAAATATATATCCTGTTTGCATCCCACATTCTTCCCTATCAGCTTTCACTTTGCAGCTTCCTGTTCTTCAAGGCCAAGCTTCTCACAGGGTTGTTCATACATTATTTTACTTTCCGCTTCCTTCTTACTCCCCTCCAGTGTATCTTCTACTTCCATCACTTGCAAGTGCTCAATGACCTCCCTATCACAAAACACAACTGAAACACATAGAAATTTAAATTTTCATTGTAGTTCATCTTCCCACAATATTTAATACAATCTTGGGTTCTTGGAACACTTTTTCCTTTGACCCTGATGCCCAAATGTTCTGCTGATATTGTCCTTGCTCCTCTGGCCAGTCCTTAGTCTTCATTCAGCAGCTCGTCATTTTGTACCAACCTCTTCTTTGACATTCCGCTTCTCCAAGACTCAGTCTCGACCTCCCTCATCTGCTCACTCTATATTGTCTCTTTGGGAAATACCATTCCTGATTTAATTTTGCATGCATTTGTTAATGAGTCCCAAGCATATATCACCAGCCTAGGAGTCTTGACATGAAATATCAACTTGGTTGTCTTAAAGGCACCTCAAATTCAAAATACTCAAAATCATTTTGTGATCTATCCAAAATGGTACCACCATCTACCCTGCTTTGCAACTCAGAGTTCTACAAACCATCTTTGTCGTGTCCTGCCACTTTATACTTTTTAAATAGGAGAAAGATGTGTTTAATGGAAATTGAGAGCTGTATCTTCTTAAATCAATACTAGATTAATTTAATAGCATCAAAGTAGAGACTTGCTTTGGATTTTCAAAGAAAGCAAACTGTGGAACAATAATTTGCATACAGTAAACACTGTTATAAGTCCTAACGTCCTAGAAAAGAAATATCTTAATTACATGGCTGTTGTCACAAAAACTTAAGAAAGGATAGTGACAACAATATTGCATTTCTTAGGGAAGCAGGATCCTCAGAGGCCCTGAGAAACTTCATTATAAGTTCAGTTCCATTGTAAGACTAACAAGGCACATTTTTTGCCAGTCATGCCCCACAGTCATTACATGTTTATAGCTAAAGATACAGCCTAAAGATACCTGCAAGTACACACTCCTACAACAGCAGAATGTCCAGATGTCCCAATACCCATAGCAATATGTCCATCTGATGCCCATAACAATGTACACTTTCAAGATAATTATAGTATGCTTTGATGTACTTAATGCACTAAAATGCCAAGGAAAACTTTTTTAAATCAACAAAATACTAAATTTTGTCACACCGTCAGGACACCTGCACATAGACATAGCTTAGCTTAGGTTGGCTTTTACATAGATAAGATTCCTTTATAAGAAAAACTGAAAACAAAGACAGCATGTTCCTTTGCTTGCTGAGGACGACCTACTCTGTAACTGAGGAGTTTTCAATAAACTATCTCTTCTTACTGCACTCCGTGGTGTGACTTGCCTTGAATTCCTTACTGTGTGAGATCCAAGACCACTTTTTGCCAGCAATACATTAGATCAAATATGGTTGTAAGGCATTTATATGCAATGTCATATTGAATCACATTTTGATACAAAATATCTTACCCTTTTGAACTTTGTCACTTTTCTCAGGAGCCTTTAGTGCTGTCAAAGAACTTTCAAGTTTGAATTCCTTTGCATCTTTTACTTCCTTTCCATCCTTTACTTCTTTTCCCTCCTTCGCTTCTTTCCCTGGTTCTTTTAATTTCGAATCTAACACTGCTATTTTGCTTTCAGAGCTGGCCTCATCTGACAGCTTAAACTCAGGCAGTACTTCTTTCAGGAGCTCCCAAACTTTGTCCATATATCTGGGGCTAAGAGGAAAGACATCAACATTAATTTCCAAATGATGGCTTTTATTTTTTCCTTGAACTTCGTAAGAAATTACTGAGAGAAAATTTAACTTGCTATACTTGCTATTTCATAACTGATTTCAATTGTCACCCAAATTTTTAGTTAAAAAAATAGCATTATATGTTGTACATTCAACAAGCTTTTATTGAGTGGCTACTGTGTGCTGGGCTTTGCTGATACAAAGAGACCAAAACCATAGTGTTATCTCAGGGATCACTCACCCAAGCAGGGAAGCTAAACATGTTAACAACCATGACAGGGAAAGAGCGTGCACTTGAGCATCTATTAAGTGGCAGACACTTTTGCATGCATGATCTTTTATGCAGAGCATCCTTATCTTACTAGGCATCTCTGCGGAATGTGACAGTGTTGTTTCTTGCTCCTCTTGTAACTCTTCCCTGAGGCTTCCATAACATCCTTCTTTCCTGGTTTTATTTCTGCTGTAGAAATTACTTGCAGACTCCTTTGAAGACTCCCCTTCTTTCTCCCTTTCTTTTCCCACAACTCTCCTCTAGGTGTTCTTGTCATTTTCATAGTATTTCCTCATATTTTGGGTTTATCCATAAATGCGTATAACCTCTAAATCATCAGCTCCAGCTTAAATCTCTCTCCTGACATCCAGACTCACACAGACAACCACCTAATAGATATCTGTCCCAAACAGATAATTTAAAAAAAGTAAGTAAACAAAAATGTCCTACCTCACCTTCTACTTAGTACTCAAAGGGGGAAACTGAGAATGACTAAGACACTCTCTTTAAAATTCCCTTCAAATAAAACACGGTGTCACTTGGATCCTACCTTTTCTCTGTGCATTGGATCACCTTTCCTCCATTCTCAACACAACTTCCTCAGCAGAAGCCCTCAGAAGACCCTTCGAGAAAACTGCACAAGCCAGTCTCGCTGCTTCACTCCTGCCATTTGCTCTCCTAAGGTTCTGAGCATTCTTTCAAAATCATGAGTCTGATAAAGTCATCCTCCTGTCTACAATCCCTTAATGACATCTGATCATTTTAAGGAAGTTGTAAAAATGTCTTAGCAAAGCATAAAAGACCTCTCTGTCTATCCAGCTCCTATTTTTCTTTCCATGACCACACCCTATTCCTCCTCTAGAATTTTATAGCACACAATTCAGCCATGCAGATCCACATGTTTTCTGGGACTGCACTCCGCTTTCTTCTACTTCCTTGATATTTTTTATTCTCTGAGTTGTATTCCCCGCCTCAATCAGCTTCATTCATTTCAACTAATCGTTTGAGATCAATACAAGTATTACTTTCTGCAGGAATTAAGCTATAGGTTTCTGTTCTGAGTTCCCAAAGAGTCTTTTACACTCTTCTAGTATTCTAGTATAACGTTTTTTTTTAAAAAATCCTCATTTTACACAATTCATGAGCACATACTATATCCCAGTCATTCCATATCATTGTTATAAACACAAAGGCACAAAATTGAGCAATACAAAAGAGGGTCCCTGTTCTTATGGGCAATTTAACATCCAGTGGATAAATACAACAGAGAAAGAGCGAGAGGAGCAAGAGAGAGAGAGAGAGAGAATAGCAGCAGTGATAACTTCCATGATGAAAATAAAATAAGGGAAGCTGAGATGTGGTGTAATTTGGGGAAGGAATAACTTAGATTGGATGCTCAACTAGGCCTAAGGAGTTGATGTTTAAGCTTCATGAGACCTAAATGTTGTAATATACCCAGGCAAGTGAATAATATGATGGAAGTTCATTCCAGGCAGAACAAAAATAAAAGCAGCCCATGTAAGGACCATAAGGCAGAGTAAGTTTCAAATACTTCAGAAACAGAAAGAAGACTGGGGTGACCAGTAAATGGTTGCCAAGACCCTAATGTGGTGTGTGAATCAGACAGTGCAGATCTCTGAGGACCGTGGTCAAGACTGTAAAACTTCATTCAAGTGTAATGGTGAATCACTGAAAGGTTTTAAGCAAGGAGAACTATGTAATCTGATTTATACTTTAGAAAATTATTCTGATTACCAACTTAACTAGAGGAGGGTAAAACTGACGCAAGGAGACCAGTTATAAGTCTATTACATGTGAGCAGTGATTGAAAGTTGAACGAGGATGGTAATAATGGAGACGTAGAGAAAAAGTAGGTTCAGAATAAGTAGAGAACATACTGTTGACAGACCTCAGTGAGAGATTATATGTGTGAGGTGAGGAAAAGAAGCAATGAAGGATGACATCTAGTTTTTTCTTTAGCTTGAGTAGACAGATGGATAGTAGTGAAATTCACATTCTAGGAAAGGTGCAGTTTAGGAAGTTAAGAATCAAGAGTTCCCTTCTGGAGATTCTGAGTTTAAGATACACTTTTGACCTGCATAGCTATGTAACTTAGGCAGCTGTAAATAAATATAGTCTAGAGTTCAGGTAATGGTGACCAGATATAATCTTGAAAGTCATCGTCAGTTTGTTATTTAAAGTTATGGGACAGGAGCCCTGCTACACACCAGCACTTAGTGGCTGTACAGTGGTTGAAGAATGATCCAAGAAGGCTGGGAAAGAGCAGAAAATAAGATAGGAGAAAAACCCAGAGAGTGTGTTTCTGTGGAAACCAAGTGAAGCAAGTGTTTTACAAGGAAATAATGGATTAAAATGGTCAAATACTGGGATGCCGGTAAATGAGGCAAGAGACGTGATCACTGGATTTGACACTGTTAAGGTCTTTGTTGACCTTAAGAAGAGGCGTTTCACTGGCGTGGTGGAGAGCAAAGGTCAAAGAGTCAGATGAGAAGAAATGGGTAGTTAAGGAGCTGAAGACAATGTGTACAAACCACTCATTTATTAAGATGTTTTTCTGAGCTAAAACAAGAGAAATGAACTGATGGTTGAAAATAATAATTGGTTTCCCTGTGCATCTCTGACCTGCTTGACTGCCTGAACTGCCTCCTATTCATCATTGGATCCCCAGTACCCAACAGAGTGGCCTTTAGCACATTTTATTTTCATTTGATCCCACAACAGTTCTGCAACATAGCTAATACAGTCTCAAATGACGTTTAAGAAGTTGTATGCCATCACACAACCAGCAAATATTTGAGTCGGGATTCGAACAGATCTTTCTGAATCCTAGGTTGTATTTTCCATCTTGCTACACCATGAAAAATACCTATTCAAACACCACAGAAGGAGACCATATAACTTCCCGGACCCCAGGCTTAAAGACAGGGTGGCAGAATGCTATGTTCACAGATAGACCATGCATCAGAGACATGTGCCAACAAAAGAGTCCTTTGAAGTGGTTGGATTTCTAATTCCCACTCAGACATACCATTGACTCTGCTTCCATTATTACATGGAAAATTAGAAGAGATTCTTTTTTGATTTTCCAAGGTAAAATTTTATGAACTTTCTAGTTGTGAATTATTCTGATCTCTTGTTTCTTTACCATCCTCTGGCAGACTTCTGATGATTTCATGTCTCTGGTACCTCTACTGACTATTGCACAGAGAAAATTGCACAGAAAAAAACTGAGAGCATTCTATCAACACTAAGTATAAAAATTTAGAGAACTGCATACTTTTAAAATCTCATTCTCTCTCTACATCCACATTAGTCAGAAAGTCATTGAGATATCAGGAAAAGGTTTTCCAAAAGAAGATTTTATAAAAGAGTGCTATCTCGGCCTTTCCAAAGGAAAAAACAAGATCAGCTCCTACTCTCCAGTTATTTTCCCTGAAAATACTTTCATTTGAACAAAACAACACCTAGTTTATCCTGCTAAAAATATGGGTAAGATGGCAGAATCCAAGTTACTAGGGTCTGTCTTCAAGCTCCTTTAATCTCTAGTGACCCTGGGGTACTGCAGCTGCCTATCACCAAAGATGGGAGATGGTCCAGGTTGATAACTGCACTGTGGATTTAATCATCTTGTAAAAGTCAGTATCTGAATTAATGGTATACTCAGTTCTATTGTTATAATTCTTTTCTATGCATCTTATCTTGATGTGTTTCCAACTGTCAATGGTAAAATGAGAAAGTAGTGTGTATTTCTTATTTATTAAATAAAATGATTGTGAAATTATGAGTCAGCACTAAATTGAAAGATGTCTCTTTCTATTCTTTACCTAATAGCTATTTTTGGACATAAAGAAGCAATTTCTATATATCTAGAATCATAAAGAAAGACTGTGGGCTTTGGACCAGCAAGACTTACATATTTCTGGTTTGGAATTTAACCTCTCTAAGCTTTTAGTTCACTCATTTGAAATGATGTAGGCCTAGCTGATGGGGTGATATGGATGATTAAATGAGACTATCCTTTCAGGACTGTGATTTTTAAATGAGAAGTAATATATCAAGATATCGGATGCATAGTAGCTGTCTTCTTACGATTATTTCCATATATGTGCAGCCAATTAAAAGTTGTTTTTATGGTTCCAAATTGAAATAAGTGTGGTAGGTTTATATGTGTAAAGGGAAGTTTGCAAATGTTTTACCATAGTACATAATTACCATTGTTTTCATATTTGGACATCAGATATTTACAGATTAAATTCATAGTATATATATATATATATAAGTGAGGGAGACCAGCACATGCCACCCCAAAATATGAAGGATTGCTGAGCTATAGGCAATTATGAAGAAGCGGATACACAGAAACTCTCTGCTTTCCCTCTGTGTGCCTAAAAGCAAGACATAGATTTACAAAAACCAAGAAGTATCCTCCCCCTCACTCTCTTGTACCAGAGAGAACAGATGTTAACCTCTAAAGACAGCTTTGGACTCTTACTAGCCTGAAATGGTACCAAAGGACTGTACATGAACAAGCTTTCTTAACCAGCCTTCATCTATCATTTATTTGCCTTCTTACAAGTGCCACCTGTAGAGGCTCATAGTCATTTTATTTTGTCCTGTCACTTCTTTAAAAATGGACTGTTCTTGGCTTGGATTTCCCAGGGAAATCTACATGGTAACAGACTTCTGTATGTTTTGCTCTTGTTAATGTGTCTTGTGTTACAGGAGTCAGTTCCAACAAAGAACCTATGGGGGTCATTCTTCTCCTTCATAAGGAAACAGAATTCACACTGAAATTCCCAAGGAACTTTATATAATACTACAAAACATTATTTCCCCCCAAATTTTGTAAAACATGATCTTTCTTGAAATTTTCGTAAAGACTAAGAATATTTTAAAGAAATCTTGTGATGAAAGAAAAAAATAGACATGAGCATTTTAATAGTCAAACGTACTGAAGAGAAATGACTTCTGGTAACCACCCTGTGAGCGCATGAATAACTGTGAACTCTCCCAGTTCTCTCCTGTCTGCTACATGGATGCTAAAAAAGAAAATGCAAAATGTTATAGGTATCAAAATTTGAAAACACATCAAGATATATAAAGAGTAGAAATCATTAATAAACAGCAACATATCCTGATTATTCATTACAGACTGTATTCAAAAACACTATCCCAGAAGCCAAATGATTTGTTAAAAGACTGAAATAGGATTTATAACATAATTAATTTTATGTGTATTTGTAAAGCATGTTTATATGCTTTATTTTTAAGATCTAAAGTAATATTAATGCAATATACATAAAATACATTCACATTATATGTTATAAAATAGATAAGTAATATATAATCCATTTTTATATACTTCCTTTAAAAATAGAATAGTCTCTCTATTCTGATTTCAGTAACATTATTCTAAGATGTCTTTTAAGCGGTGTATTAGATCAGTCTCATCTATGGCAAGTCAAGATGGGCATCAGAAATCCTTAGATAACTATAGAAAAACCAGAAACATCTGTTCTATCCTGTATAGAAGAGTGGATCTGACAGCATAGCACAAAGTAAAACAAGGCTGTGATTAACCAAATATCGCTCTTCTCATTTAGACCTCTTATTTTTTTCTGTGTGGTTATTAATCTATTTACATCTACACACAAAAATGCCCTATCTCCCTCACGGCTTCTGCTGACCACATGTCAATGGTGGTGTTAATGGCATTATCGACATACGTGTGCTTTTCTTCAGAAAGAAATCTTACTATCTTAGTCACATATGCCATTATTTTAAAATGTGCACTGTTTTGTTGTTTATGGAATACAAATTTCCACATGTCTACCTATTTCAAAGATAATATCTATTGAGACAGATCCCAGACTAGTCTAAATTCCTCATTGAATAAATGTATGAAGTGATGTTGCAAATCAAATAGAAATAATGCTCTTTTCTTTGTATACCTCACATTGCCATTGAAATTACTATGTTAATTTTGAAAATGTAGTAAGCTAAACCTCATATAAAAACAATCACTATGTACTATAAAAATCTAAGAAAAAATGATTAAAAAATATAAATTGTACCATGTAGAGCAACTTTCCACTAGAAATTCCAAGACATGTATTATACTTAGCTTGTTGCTTTATTTACTAACTGGATTTTAAAAAGAATATAATAACCCTATTACTTATATTGCTATAAAATTCTACTGAACTTTAGCTTTAAGAAAGATAAAATGCCACTCCAATTATCCAGGTCACGTACTCAATGCCTTACTGCTCTAGCAGCTCTGATTCTCAGAACTTCAAGTTACATCTGAAAACTAGAAACATTCAGAACACTCTTTTTTCCAAATAAACAAACATGCCACCAGTATGAATACTTAGTGCTATTCAGCTACCTTAAAAGATCTGGGCTGAGTTTTTGTTAAAAATCATTGCAATCAAGTGCTAAAAGCCGGGTGAAACTAATTCCCAAAGGAAAACTGCAGGCTGGTAAGAAAAAAACAGAAATGAAGAGGACGGCAGTAGGAGTTGTTGTTTTTGTTTTGTAGCTTTGGGAGAGTAAAAGCTGTGCCTAAAGAAAATCCACACAAAGCAGACCGAGCTTCTGACTGACATAGCAATGTGTATAGAAAGGGAGGGGACTGAGCTGTGAGCAAATGTCTAACTTGTACTGTTAAAGCATGTGGGTGTGTTCTATTAAATATCTAGAATCTTTGACAAACTGCAGGAGGTGGAAGCATATACAATCCCAGTCTGTGCAATGTATGTGAAAATTCTCCCAGTGAGCAATGAGGCAAAATTGCCATGCATTTCCAACTGAAGCATCAGAGCTGTTTAGCATTGTTAAGGCCAGAATGGTATGACTCCTTTTCTCTGGAAGTGGAAGCTGAGAGAATAGAACAATAGCAGACATGCTTCATATACACTGGTGCACAATTCATGCAGGAATATAAGACAGAAGCGGATTTTTCAAGAATATTGCGGAAAATATGAGTAGTTTTCATCATGCATGTATCAAAAGTGATCAATGTTACCAAAATCATGAAGTACACATTGACTTCTTTCAGAAAAGTTCAGCTTTTTCAAGATTAGTATATTGCTGCATATACAGAACCTAAAACTTTAATTAGATTTCAGGATATAATATTCAGTATTTAGATGAACCAACATTTTTCTCCCACAAAACAATTTTTCCCCTATTAAACAAAAACATCATTTTTCATGATCAGCTTTCCATTCATAGTAAGACAGCGTTGAATATAGACTAATTATTGGGTATTTTTTTGAAGAAATTCTGTATTATTGTTAATTAATCCAATAGGACAAATCAGTATCTTTGGCACATTTGATTTGATACAAGAGGATTTATGTTGTTTAGGGAAAAAAGCTTTTAACTAATTTTTAAAAAATAAACCATGTAATATGAATATATAGTTACTATTTTTGTTTGCCATTTTTTATACATGTGAGTGATAATGTCTCATTACATACTCAATATTTGCCAGCTTGATAATAGCCTTAGACAAAAGCATTGGCCACAGTTCAAATTCGTAAGTTGAAGCTGGAAGCAATAGATTGTTATCTTCATCAAAAGGCAGAAAGTCATCAATTGTTATCTTTCTCCAGCAACCCTAAAAATAAGATGAAAGAAATGTAATACCATCAATTACAGTCTTTTTTCTCATAAATTATTGTACACGGCTGACATTATTATTTACTGTTTTCCAATTTTATTTTAGCATCTTACACTTAAAGACTGAGATGCTAGATTTCAATATTACCCCAGTTGAATATTTTAGCTTACTGCTTTATTTAACATAATCATAGCACACTTAACGGCTATGTCAATATTGTCCTTATTTATGAGGTCTTGTGAGGAAATTCTTGGGAGTCCCTTACTGCATAATGCAGTAAATTAAGGTGTTTCAAGTAGCAGAATCAAAACATTATACAACGATGGATAAGCTTGGACATAATCAAATAACTTTATATAGTCAAAATACAAATTCTCAAAATAAAACTTTAGCAATTATTGCTTATCTTGACATATCCTCACTGATCTTACACTTCCAATTCTCATATCATTCCTACTCTTAATTAAATATTTTTTTAATAGGGTCTTGCTTATGTTGAAAGGGCTGGCCTCAAACTTCTGGGCTCAAGCAATTCTTCTGCCTCTGCCTCCTGAAGAGCTGGGGTTACAGGCACACACCACCATATCTGACTTATAGATCTAATTTTTAACATAAAGTGAATTGATGTTTAATAAGATCATCATATATTTCTCTGTCTGCACATTACTTATAATTAAAAGCATGAAGCAAATGATAATCTTAATGTTTGTGAACTCAAATAACCATCTTTTCTTTTACTTTGGTTTTACATGCTGAGTTTTTTTATGAATTCATTCCTTTGCCAAAAAATATTTTCAACAGTGGTGTCAAGTATTGTGAACATAAGTATCTGCATAACACATGTACTATACCATTGAATTACTTATTCATTGAATTACTTCCCTCAGTCTACTGAGGGAAGGCAAATACGCAAATAACTTCAAATACAATATGTTTAAAGTGCTCTAGAGCCAGAAAGGAAAGTGTGACTAAATGTGCTGGAGAAGCTCTTCATAAGAAAGTGACATTTGAACTGAAGAGTCAAGAAACAGCATAATATTTTCAAGCACATAGAAGCAATAGGGTGAGAATGCTTTCTCTGTATGACACCTTTAACCCTAAGCTTCACATCACCTTATTTAGTGGTTATATATTTTTTTCTTTCTCCCATAACAGATAACGTGGGGCAAGACAGGGTTACAGTCAGTGGTGTTTAGCCATAACCTCTTCTAACTTCAAGTTAAATGATCATCAAGAAAACACAGAGAAATAAGCCATATGCAAAAGGATAAATCTGTATGATTACTGAGTACATTTACATCTATATTGAACATATCTATCCCAAACATATAAAAAATACATTTGTGTGTGTGTGCATATCTGTGGATACATACGGAATGTTTCTTCTCAAAATTCATGTGTTGAAATCCTAATATCCAATGTGATAGAATTAGATAAAAAAGGAAGGTAAAGCCCTCATCAATGGGATTTGTGCCCTTTAAAGAAGCTGAAGAAAAAAAAAATGTTTTCCTCTTCCACCATGTAAGTTTATGGCAAGAAAATGACCAGCCACTTACCAACCAAGGAGCAGGGCTTTGCTAGGCACCAACACTACCAATGTCTTGATCTTGGACTTCCCAGCCTCCAGAAGTGTAAAAAATAAATTTCTGTTGTTTATAAGTCACCAGTCTATGGTATTCTGGTATAGCAGCCTGAGTTGTTACAAGACTATTATTAAGGTTATATATACTTATATACATTTAGTGTAAAAGGTTATATATACTTATAATATATTATATATAATATAGCCTTAATATAATGTATAACCTTAATAATATTATGATTATTATGCTCTATATTAAGATGTAAATATTAACAAGATATATTAAGATTAAAATATATATTATATACATTATGACATATTTATATATGTAATATATATTATTAAGTTTTTATGTATATTACATATAAGAAGATTGTGGAATGAAATCTTACAACCTGGGTAGCAAACAAAAGTGGCAGACTAGAATAGCACATCAGAGACTTTATACTAAACTGGGACACAGCCCATATATGTGAGCCAGGATGTGCCTTCTGAATCTAAAAAAGTTGACTAATTGCTAAAATATAAAACTAATTAGCAATCAGAGTTGTAAAACATAACACTAAAAATATTTAGGAAACTGTATAAAATTACCTGTTGTACCAAAAGCCAGAAGTCTCAATTTCAATGGGAAAATATAATCAACAGACCACAAAAATGAAATGACAGAGGGATTAGAATAATTAAATAAGCAATTTATAGCAATTCTAACAAAAATGTTCCAACAAACAACTATGAAAACTCTTGAAATAAACTCAAGAATAGAAACTCCCAGCAAAGAAATAGAAGACATAAAGGCATACAAATAGAAATTTTAAACAAAATTAAACTAAAAAGCAACTCTCAGTTGATGAGATCAATAGCAGAATGCAGATAATACAAATTAATGAACTGGACATTAGATCAATAGAAATCATGAATAACAGGAAAATATAGTATCAGCAATCACATAAGGCTCAGGGACCTGTGTGGATATTCATGTCACTGTAGTCACTGAAAAAAAGAAAAAAAAAAAAGAGTGGGCCTAAAAATATATTTGAAGGAATAATGGCTGAAAACTCTCCCAAATTGTCTTAAGACATAAACCTACAAATTCCAGGAGCTCAGACTAAACCAAATAGGATAAACTCAAAGAATTCTACAGCCAGAAATATCAAATTCAAACTTCTTAAAAGTTAAAACAAAAGAAAAAGGGCTTGAAAGCCAGCAGCAAGAAAAGACTCATCAGAAGGGAAGGGCAGACTGCCCCCCAGGAGACTGGGAGGTCAGAAGGAGAATTCTGGCCAGCCTTCAGGATAATTCCAGAAGGCTGGAAAATTAATGGCACACTAAATATCAAATGCTGAAAGAAAATTACTGCTAACCAAGAATCATATTATGAGGGAAAATATTATTTAGGAATAAGAGTAAAATAAACACATTCTCAGATAAAAGAAAGATAAGATAATTTGTCATCATCAGACCAACTCAAAAGTAATGGTGAAAGAAAATCTTTCAGAAAAAGAGAGAAAGGAGAATAAAAGGAAAAATGAAACATCAAGAATGAGAAAGAGTAAAGGAAAAATTTTACATGCCAGTTAAAATTTTTACTTAAAAACTTATAAAAAGTGAACATATGACTAAATACGGTAATCTTCTCTTCAAAATTTTTTATATTGTATTTGAATGTAAAAGCAAAATTATGATGAGGTTTTCAATATGTACATAGGAAATGTTTAAGAAAACTATATCAGTGGTCAGATGTGGTCTCATCCCTGTAATCCCAACACTTTGGGAGGACAAGACAAGAGGATCACTTGATGCCAGGAGTTCAAGACAAGCCTATAGTGAGACCCTGTCTCTACAAAAAAATACAATTAGACATGATGATGGCATGCCTGTAATTCTAGCCACTCAGAAGCCTGAGGCAGGAGGATCAATTGAGCCCAGGAGTTTGAGGCTTCAGTGAACTATGATTGTGCCATTGTACTCAAGACAGCAACAGAGACAGACCCTATCTCTAAAAAAAAAAAAAAAAAGAAAGAAAGAAAAGAAAACTATATTAGAAAAGGAGGAATATAAATGGGACTAATTGGTGGTAAAATATTTATATTCCAGTTTAAATGGTGAAACGCTGATACTAGTTGACTATGATAAGCTATGCATGTATATTTCAATTCATAGAGCAAAGAGATTTGCTTGAAAGCACTATAGGGAAATCAAAATGAAATTCTAAGGAATGTCCAAGAAACATGCAGGAGTATAGGAAAAGGGATAAAGAATTCAATGAATACAGAGTAACATAAAAATAAGAAAGATAACAAAGAATAAACAAATAATAAAATTACAGACTCAAATTCTGATTACATCAAATATAAATGTTCTATACAAGCAAATGAAAATATAAGGGTAACTTGAATATACTTATGAAAAATTAAGAATTTGCCAATATTTTGATGGAATAATTCTATAAGGTAGAAATCCTAGCAAAAGAAGTCCATACAAATGGGCAAAGACTATATACATAAGATGAAATTTTACAGCATTATTTCAAACACTGGCCCTAACTTAAATGTCTACCAAAATGAAATTAGCAAAGTACATGTGTTTACCTATCTCATACAAGGAGTACAAAGCAGAGCAATATATATTAGCATAGCAAATGTCTATGTGTATGGAATAGTTTATAGAACAATGTTTATATGACCCTATTGTTATAAATTAGATACAATAGTTTTATGTGTGTTTACAAGAATAGAAGAAAGCTTAGAAGGATATACATAAGACATTTGTGGTGATTAAATAGGGTAAAATTACAGGAAACTTTCATTGGCTACTTTGAACATTTTGATAGTAGTTGAATTTCTTAATTAAAAGCATGTATAATATTACAAATAATAAAATAAATCATTTCCATTTCGGAACAAAGTAACTGAATAACAGAAAAATAATTTGTCATAGTTTGTATCTTGAAAACATTGTTCCTTAAATTTAATGAACAAAAATGTCACTGGATGAGAGAATTTAATGCAGGATTGCAGGCTCTAACCTGGAAATTCAAACTCAGGAGGTCTGGAGTGGGGCACAGGCAACAGGTATTTAAGAAGTAAGACAGCTGGTGTTGATGTTGGGGGGGTTTCTGTACCCCATAGTTAGGAAACTGAATCCTACAATAACATTGTGGTTAAGCAGTAGAAGGCTCAATCAGAAATAAAAGCAAATGCATCTTTATATAAATATATTGATGGCAACTGAGAAAGATTACTGGTCCTAATGTGTGTGTTTTCTCTTTTATCAGAGACAAATGAAAGCACAGAGACACTCAGAGAAAAGCTGCCAACCGCAATACATATTTCAAGTGGAGAGCAATAGCTAATCTGCTTCTTTTAGAGAGCCAAAGGAATGCTGCCATTGGAAGGCACTTGACAAGATGATATGTGTCCCAGTATTAGTATTATCATTCCCAGGTGAAGGACGGGAGAGAGTTGCTCTGTGTCATAACCTTGTTCTTCATGCTACTCAATAAATTTCTATCTGGCTGAAGTCAAAGAATCTAGATGCAATGTACTTAGCATCCAAACTGGAAATAATGAAAATACTTTTATGGAACAAATGAAAAACTGGTGTGAAAATCAGAATTTTAAATGTCATGCAGAGAGGCTCTGAGTAGTTGGTTTGGCTCAAAGAAGTGATAACGGTAAATGCTTTAAGAAACAAAGCGAAAGAGGGAGAAGAATATTTGTGATAAGGCAGAGAAGAAAAATCAATTTCCAATAAGAGAAAGGCAGGAAAGCCTCAAGAAACTGAAGAAGAAAAACAGTGAGAAGAAGACTAATCATGTCTCGCAAGATAGGAAATGGGAAGGAAAATAAATGTAGGATATAAGATGAATCTGCAGTGTATTGCACTGAATAAATGAGGAGAAGTAATAACACATATTTTATAAACCTGTTTCCCAAATATTCACAGAGAGAAGCAAATCACAGACATGTACAAATACGGAACTAGAATTGGAAGAGAAAAAAGTCAAAATCAAGTTGTGTGTGTCTGGAAAGGGAAGATAATGAAAAAAAAAACAACAACATAAGATTTTCATGTAAGAAAGAACTGACTCTAACTTCTTACTGATGTTAATATATACACAGGTATTGACTCAGCCCTACCAGCTGGGGATCAGGTAGAAAGACATGGAAATTTCTGCCCCTAGCCCAGAAAGAATAGATTCTACTAATCAGAAAACCAGGCAGCCGCCTCTCTATCACATGCCTACCAAAATAATTAACAGGAAACAGGTATGTCAGTGTTTATAGGCATTCCTCCAATGAGACCACCAAGGAAACAGAGGAAGCCAGTGGAGCTGAGGTCCAGTCTCTACCACACTGTTCCCTAAAGGGCTAAATTATTTAGAGATGGGCTAAATCACTGGACCAGACTGAGATTTCCAAAGCGGGCTCAATACATATTTAGAGAAATTTCTGAATCAAGTGGATTTGGGTTTGTGAAGAATCAGTACAATTAAGGAGAAATAAGTCACATTTTCTTGGCAAAATGGAAAGTGATGTTAATGAATGTTTATCACTATGACAGAGGAAATTTGAAAAACAAGGAGGGATGTCAGGAAACAGAAAGAGAGAGAGAATGAGAAAGAGATCAGCAGGGTTGGTTCCATGTTTGAAAATACTTAATGGTTTTGACCTTCTTCCCACCTCAAGTTTAGACAAATTTGGGGCGGGAACCCAGGCACTTTACCTGCTGATGTTTCCTCTGTCTGCCTTCTTTCTGTTCTCCCTCAACACTATCCACTAGGTTTTACACCTTTTTAATACCACACTCTTCTGCTCGCTCCTCTGCACAGATTCGAAACTGTAAAACCTAGTCTGCCAAATAGTCCTCTTGATTGGTAAATACATAAGATACAGTAACTTAAAAAGTCATTTTCTCTCCTAACAAAATTTCAAGGTCAATTGTCTTGCTGTGGATGTTTAAAAAACAAAAATCCAATTTTGGATATCAGAAGCTATTTTACCTTTTTTCCTTTTCCCTTCCCATTGTAATTATTCTGATAATTTCTAATTATTGGCCCTCCAACATTCTCCAACCCAAAAAGAGAGATGGCTTAGGTCTATGAAAGAAAAGTCACATTTTTATAAATATATAATGGAATTATTAACTTTTAATACTTTCCCATTTCTTTAAATGTTCAAGGAGAACATTCTTCTCCAGCGACAAGGGCCAAGAAAAACCCAAAGGAGTTTGATATGATCTAGCAATCCTGATGTAGTGTGAGTCTCCTTTGCCATATTTATAAGGGTTTCGGATCTTCTATTTGTACTTCCTACTAATCCATTTGCTTTCCTTTTAAGCAGAGGTAACATCTTCCTGTGGGTGATCCACTCACCTTGGTCTCCCAAAGTGCTGGGATTACAGTTGTGAGCTACCTCGCCTGGCCAAGGCAAGTATATTTCAATATAAAAGACTCATGAGTTGTCATGCACATGAAAATGAACTTACCATCCAGTAAAGTTTCACAACATACTTTCCATAGCTATTGAACAAAGGCATATGACCCTTCACAGCCTTGCATAGAGAGTATATGTGTTCCCAGGGCTTCCATGGGAGAAGAGGAGGTTCCCCTGAAGTCCCCTTAAAATAATTGCTCAAAATTCCTCCATTGAAGATCTTCCACACTGCATGGATTTCAGTGATAATCCATCTCATCAGCTAGAGACAAAAAACAGTGTTAATTGGTTATTTTTCAATTGTAGATAATGCAATTTAGGGACAAATACAATAAAAAATAATCCACTTCTAAGAATAATATTAAATTATACATGTAATTTATTCCACATTTTGATTTCTGATCTATGGAATAAAATTATAGGTCTTGCTTTCATTTTCTGGAAATACAGTCATGAGTCAAACTAAAATGTCTCATACTAAACATACTTTTAGCTAAGAAAGCCGTCTGCTGAAGTAAAATGTGGGTGACTGGCATTGACTTCTATTTGACACTGACCTTCATGTCAGTGGTAGTGTGTGAGAGAAAGCTTCTGAGAGCACGGATAATTGTGACAAATGAGTGAGCTACTCTTTTATAAATGTTGAGACATTTGAGAAGGCTATTATCTCTTGTATGTCAACAGGACCAATTAGAGAAGGAAAGAGATGTGAAAGAATTAAAATGGGGTAGACACGTAAATATACTGCAAATCCCATATTTCATGGGTTGATCTGTAGCTGGTGAAATGCTCCAAGTAAAACGTCCCCTTGCAGGGTTTTTAACGGGCAGCAAGGCTCAGTAGGAAGGTGGGCTTCAGAGTGGAAACAGACCAGATTTGCATCCTCTTTCAGATCTTCACAGCCTTCTGCTGTTGGAAAAGTTGCTTCCACCTCTCTAAGGTGCAGTTCCTTATCTGTAGAATGTAGATAATCGTAGCTATTTTTCAGCATTTCTTTTTGGGAGGACTAGAAATCATATGTATGAAATCTCTAGGTTATAGTGGGTGTTCAATAAAGCCATTGTTACCTCAGTTGTATCTGATTTTCTGAAATAGTCACCTCATGTTTAACTGTGTGGTTTATAAGAAAATTAAATATTTAGTATTGACCTTGTAAGATTTATGTTTCTTTTACTTTGAGTTATCTAGGAAATGCTTAATGTTTGGTAAAGTAGAAAAAGACAAAGCAGATATCTTCCTGTATATCTGGAACTTTTATTGCAGAATATTTTATATTTTCCTTCCCTTAAAAAATGAAAAGCTAAAATCTAAGTGGGTTTAGGATTCATAAAATAGGTGTACTTTATACTAAAACACAAAACAATTTTGAGACAATTTTATACTAATGTGTATTATCTGGTTGAAGAAATATAATAAATATTTTGATTTTAATATTGGTCAAGATATCAAAGATGAGAAAAAGTATTTTGATCAATATTAACTATGCCCCACTACTCTAAGCCTTAGGAGAAAATAATTTTTAAAAGTTCTTGTTTCTGATTGAATTAACTTAGGGGAGTGGAACAGGCCTGTTTGTGATGAATAAAACTCAACCGAGCACAGGGAGGGGTGGTGGGGAGTAGGACGTGGGGAGATGAGTTCCCACAGGGAGCCGAACAGCTGTGCTGAAAACTTTGCTGGTTCAGAAAAGGTACTGCAATCCAAGTACACTCCAATTTCCCCCACACTATCAAGTCACACAATACCACTGTACCCTCCTCTTGACGTGACGTAGGACAAGAACGGCAAGTCACTTCATGTCCATTGCTGGTCATGTGGATCCCAAGGGTAAAAGCCCAGAGGGAGAGAATACAGCTACTTTGAAACCAGGGGCAGGAGAACAGAGGAATGAGCAAACATGCCTACCATGTGCTCACTAAACTCAGTTAAAGAGACTTCATTTCCCTTTTGAATATTGGTGTGTAAAATACTGCTACCTTAAGTGAAATAAGCCAAAGAAAGACAGACAAATAACTGCATGATTTCAGGTGTATGTGGAATCTAAAAATACAAAAGTCCTAGTAACAACTAGAGAAATGGTGGTTACCAGGGTCTGGAAGAAGGGGGATATGGGGAGATGTTGGTAAGGAGTACAAAGTTTTAGTTCTGAAAGATACGTTCTGGAGATCTACTCGCAACAACGCAGCTGTAGTTAACAATATTGTATTGCATACCTGAAATTTGCTAAGAGAATAGATCTTTAGTGCTCTTAACACACATATCCAAACACAGACACACATAATAATAACTGAATTGATGGATATGTTGATTAGCTTAATTGTGATGAATATTTAACAATATATGTCAAATCATCAAGTTGTATACCTCAAATATATATGACTTTTGGCCAGGAACAGTGGCTCATGCTTGTAATCCCAGCACTTTGGGAGGCTGTGTGGGAGGACTGCTTGAGCCCAGGAGTTCAAGACCAGTGTGAGCAATGTGGTGAGATCTCATCTCTATTAAAAATTTTAAAATTAGCTGGGAGTGATGGCACATGCCTATAGTCCCACCACCTCAGGAGTCTGAGATGGGAGGATCATTTTTAGCCCAGAAGGTTGAGACTGCACTGAGCTGTGTTGATACCACTGCACTCTAGCCTAAGCAACAGAGCAAGACTCTGTCTCACACCCCTCATATATATATTATATATTATTTTTATATAATACATATATATTATATATGTATAATATATATTATACAATATATGTCAAATATATATGTATAATATATATTATACAATATATGTCAAATATATATGTATAATATATATTATACAATATATGTCAAATATATATTATATAGTATATATATTATTGTATAATAATATATATTATATATTATAGTATTATATATATTATATTATATTTTTATATATGATCTAATATACTATATATTTTATAATATATAATATATATTTTACATATATAATATATAATGTATTTTATATATTATATATGTAAAATATTATATATGTAAAATATATAATATATATTTTACATATATATGAAATATATATTATAATATATATATTTTTTTTTTAGGATGGAGCAATACTTTATTTTTCCACACTTTGACAAGGAGGTTTTCCATAAACAACCTTTCCAGTGGAGAACAGAGAACATGAAAATTGGCTTCCAGATATCAGTAGCTGTGTCTGCTCAGGGCCGAGGCTCCCCCTTGCCCATGTGGTGAGGTGGAGGGGTGTACTTCCCTTCCTTCATCAGTTTTTCCCATTGCCTCCATATATATTATATAATACATCTATTTTATATATAGTGCCTCCATTATATAATATAGAATACTAAACTTAAAGGTGAGCCAGGGAGGGCTGAAGTGGACTCTCTGGGAACGGTTTCAGCAGGCCTGGAAGGCCTTCCATGATGAGACTTTAGCTCATACTTCTGTACATACCTCACTGCAGAGTAAATGTTCATTTGCTGAAAACAAGTCAAATGTGATTTCATTTTTCACAACCACTGGAGTCTGAAAATAATATATATATACATATATATTACTTCATAAGAAAAATAATGGAAAAGTAATTTAATGAAACAGGTTTAATTCATTTATGCTTGAGGTTGCAATTTTTTGAAATTTTGCAATCAGACCTTAGCGATGACCTTGAGCAGCAGGATATAAATAACTCCCACATGCTTAGCATTCCAATAATGGAACACTGGGCACCAATAGGTTGGTGCTGGAAATAGGCCATCTTGATTTCATTTCTCACAACCAGAGAAATAAGAAATAAACACATTATTCCTTAAGATAATTCTTAGAGCTATATAGGTGGTAGTAATTTAATTTAATGCCAATAAGATATAGTATTTTACTATAAGAATAATATATATTATATATACAGATAAATTTGTATTTATTTTTAACTTTTAAGTTCAGGGGTACATGTGCAGGTTTGTTACATAAGTAAACTTTGGTCAGGGGGTTTGTTGCACAGATTATTTCATCACCCAGGAATTAGTCTAGTATCCATGAATTATTTTTTTTATTATTATTTTTCTTGATCCTCTCCCTCCTCCCACTCTCCACCCTCCAATAGGCCCCAGTGTGTGTTGGTCCTCTCTATGTGTCCATGTGTTCTCATCATTTAGCTCCCACTTATAAGTGAGAACATGCGACATTTGGTTTTCTGTTCCAGCATGAATAGACACACAAACTGGGAGATTGAAGAGTACTTTAAAACAGTGGCTGCCGACTTTTTTGGACAATTTTTCCACAAACCAAGGAATGGGGGATGGTTTGGGCATGATTCAAGCAGATTACATGTATTGTGCACTTTTTTTCTACTATTATTACTGTAGTATGTAATAAAATTATTATACAACTCACCATAATGTAGAATCAGTGGGAGCCCTGAGTTTGTTTTCCTGTAACCAGATGCTCCCATCTGGGGGTGTTGGGAGACAGTGACAGATCATCAGGCATTAGATTCTCACAAGGAGTGCACAACCTAGATTTTTCAAATGCACGCATAGTTTACAGTAGGTTTCACACTGCTATAAGAATCTAATGCTGCTGCTGATCTGACAGAAGGCGGAGCTCAGGTGATAATGCAAGTGATGTGGAGCAGCTGTGAGTAATAAAATAAAATAATAAAATAAAACCAAAGTTTACTTATGTAACAAACCTGCACATGTACCCCTGAACTTAAAAGTTAAAAATAAATACAAATTTATCTGTATATATAATATATATTATTCTTATAGTAAAATACTATAAGAATTTAAATTAACCACTGAAGCTAAACCTGAAAACTTAGTTAACATCTGATATCAGGGAAAATATCTTCATCTTTGATGACAAATATTAGTCGTGATAGCTTTTTTCATTTAATGATTATTGTCTATTTTATTAGTGTTAAATTTTTGAGACTGTGATAGCTTTTTAAAATCATATTCAAGTTAATAACCTGTTACATCAAAAAATTAATTTAATGGTCATTATTTAATTAGTACACATCTAAATCAGGCACCAATAAATAATATAATAATAAAATAAAACTAATAGGGAAATATGAATTGTAACTTTTTAAAAAATGAGCTATAATTCATATCAAGTATACATATTTAACATATCAAATTAACATGAAAACAGTTTTAATTCAAGAATCAGGTTTTAGGAAAGGTAACGCCATTGATTACTTTCAATCATCTATACAACTAGCATCCTGAAAGGTCAATAAAAAAAGTTAAAGAAAAATTTACCTAAAACTATCTTAAAGGCTTGAATTGACCCTGCAGATCATAAATTATAAACATAGTTACTTCGTGTTCGACTGACTGTGATGGAATGCTTCTAAAATGCCCCTATACTTCAGCAGTTACCATAGTTGATAAGCAATTACCAAAGTTGATACATTAATAAATATTAAATACCTAAAGTATCAGTCTCGATAACCTCCTGCTGACAGGTGAAAAGTAGAAATTAAGCTTGTAAAAGACAACAAATATTAAGGCAGAAGTCTCTACAGTGACATCTTCACACTTCTACTTCCTATACCTGTACCTGAGGCAGGATAAATCTACAGATATCCTTATCTATTCAATATATTCAATGCTCAAGGGTCTGGTTCTCAGAAATAAACAGATCTAATAAGTTACTCTGTGATCAGAACTTGTTAACCTTCTTGTTTGGAAGGGCTCATATTTATTCTGATATCCTAAATTCAGGATTTTAAGGTATTTGATAATAGTATAATTGAGTAGCTTAGCTTCAAAATGGATTTTGAAACTTTTTTGCCTTTCTTGCTGTTAGTCATAAAATATACTTTAAGTTTCCCTCCTTTCCCACAAGGCCCCCCCATGCAGTGCTCACTTATCTAATTATGTTGTTGCATAAAAATCCCAGGGGCTACTTTTTTTTTTTCTTTCTTTTTTTTGAGATGGAGTTTCACTCTTGTTGCCTACGCTGGAGTGCATTGGTGCCATCTCAGTTCACCACAACCTCTACCTCCCGGGTTCAAGTGCTTCTCCTGCCTCAGCCTCCTGAATAGCTGAGATTACAGACATGCACCATCATGCCCAGCTAATTTTGTAATTTTAGTAGAGACAGGGTTTATCCATGCTGGTCACACTGGTCTGAAACTCCGGACCTCAGGTGATCTACCTGCCTCGGTCTCCCAAAGTGCTGAGATTACAGGCGTGAGCCACCGCGCCCGATCCCAAGGGGCTACTTTTGAAGTAAAACAGGCATAGAGACCCAGGTGCAGAATTCTCCCTCTTAAGTAGAGTTATGAACAATTAGTCTACCATTATCAGGCCAAAGTCAAGATGACATCAATGACATCAACCAGACCTGCAGATGGGCACATATTCAAGATAATTGGAAGGGACTTGCAGACCTGCATCCTCCTGGACCAGTGTTGCATGTTTTCCCTACCAAGTTTTCCCTCTTAAACTCCCTTAATTAGCCCCCAAAGTAAAAATTGCATTTTAAGGGCATAAGCCTGGCCATTCCCCAACTTCTAGTATTTGCATAAAGTAACTTTCCTTTCACCACATCTTGTTTCTGGTGTTCTGGCCTCTGGGCAGTGAGCAGTCAAACTTGAATCAGTTACTAATTTGGTGCCTTTTCTGAGAAACTGTGTGTTTCAAGTGACTCAGCCTGTACGCCTGGTTTCCAATGAATGGAGCAATTACCTGCAGCAGTGTGCCAGGGATTATTAATGCTGCCAGGCAGGGTAGGGGCCATTTGCATATGCCAGCTGCTCATGGCTAGTTGTCCCCACACCTGGGACCAGCAGTTACCAAGACTGCCTTTATCTCAGGGAATTTCCCTTCCCTTCCTTTCATGGCATCAGCTTTTGGTAACATTCTCTGTTGGTATGAGGAAAGGAACATCTGGAAAGTCAACAGGCTTCAAGAACTGGGTAAGTCAACTGGAAAGCACCTGATATCCTGTCTCTGCCATCTGTGTTCTCTAGCTGTTTAGACCTAGTATAGGTCATCTGCACTGCTGTCTTGGCCTGTGTGACATCTGGACTTAATGCAGGTCACTTAAACTGTAGTGCTGTCTGCATTTGAGACAAGGTCCCAGGACATTTCTCCAGTATCCCCTTTCAAAGCTCAGTTTGGAGTGCTCCATCTGCATCAGACCTGTTTGCGTGTGTCTGTTTAGTCTTACCCCTATCTGTGAGGGTGCTTTGGAATGGTCTCAATCCCACCAGCCAAGACCAGGTCCATCTGATTGTCAGAATGCAGCAACACAGGCTACTCCTGTCCTCACTAGGGGAGAAACGGTTTCCAAAATCCTGGCCCCTGATTTTTTGGGGGATACTCAGGAGCATTTATTGTATCTGTGTCAAACTTTGTGCAGGAAAAAAACATGTGAATTACTTTTCAGTCTATCTGGGACTCCAGCTGGTTATACATTGTGGCTTGTGTGAAAATTTTAAAACTGATGGGCAAATTAAGAGTTGAGTCTTCTAAAGCTCTCTGTGTTTCTCTCTTCTCTTTTCTGCCTGTTTTGAAACTGCTGTTATTAAGTTACTGGTGTTGAGATAAAACTTATGATTTCAAAGTTAATAGGACATTTTATTTTTCTTATACAGTTCATCCAGTTTCAGCTAAAATGTAAACACTGAAACTCATTTAAAACCAAAGACAAAAGGATAAAACATGTTTTTAAAAATGAAAACTGCATTACCCAAAATTTTGGTCCACAGCTGTTACAGGATTACCTATCAGGGCAAAGAAAGTTTAGCCACTTGACAGGTTCCAATTTTCTCAAAAATAACTTGGATCCAGCTATCTTTTATAAAAGATAAATGCTTGTAGGAAGACTTTTTGTGTAATTTAAAATCTTAAAATTATTTTGGATGCTCATTGGCTATCTGGGTCATTTCCAACTTAAAAAAGTGCTTAATATAAGAAATACATATTTCTAAACTTTGTAAAATGGTTTCATTTATAAAATACTAACATCTGATAAACAGGTCAGAAGTTCTTGCTGCTTAGGTTTTCATGAAAATTTAACATTACTAAAAATATAAATTTCAGCTAATATATAATTCTATAAATTGTGTTCTTATTTAAAAATAATTTTATATAATTTAGGGGTTATTTAAAAGTCTTTTATTTTAAAAAGTGGCATATATGGTTTTGCTCTGTGTTCCCACCCAAACCTAATGTTGAATTGTAATTCCAAAAGTTGTGAGAGAAGCCTGGTGGAAGGTGATTGGATCATGGAGGCAGATCTTCCTTGTAGTTCTCATGATAATGAGTGAGTTCTCCAATATTTGATGCTTTAAAAGTGTATGCATTTCTCTCTCTCTCTTGTCACCATGTGAAGAAGTGCCTGCTTCCCTTTCACCTTCTGCCGTGATTGTTTTTAAGTTTCCTGAGGACTTCCCAGCCATGCCTCCTATACAGCCTCTGGAACTCTGAGTCAATTAAACCTCTTTTCTCTATAAATCTCCGAGTCTCAGCTATGTATTTATAATAGTGTGAGAAGGGACTAATATAGTGGCTGGAGAGAGTGGCTGATGTTTGTAATTCTAACAATTTGGGAGGCCAAGGCAGGAGGATCACTTGAGTGCCGGAGTTTAATACTAGCCTAAGGAACATAGTGAGAGCTTATCTCTAAAAAGAAAAGTAAAATAAAATAAAGTTTTAAAAGGTTAATAAAAAGAGAGATTTATATAAATATAAAAATATATTTTTGGTTAAAGAAAGTTATAAAAATAATAACTTTATATTTAAAAAAACTTAGATGGTAAATTTCTGGCCTAAAACAAAATGACTTGTTATTTAAAAAAGAAAAATACATAAAACAAGAAAGTCCAAACATCATATTTTGTCTGTGTAAGTTGTGGCAATGTTCATAAAGAGAAATTTATTTTTAAAAACTTTGTGATAAAGTTAATTATATATTTTTTTAATTGTTCACTAGAGTCTTTGTAAAATTAGATCCTATGTGAAAGAAAGGTTTTCTTAAGGTATTTATTTGCTCTCAATAAAATTACTATAAGATTTTATTTAAATTATATTATTTGTTTCTTTTAAAACCTTATCAGAATAATATCTCAAAAATCAATTTTGTTGTGTTTTGCTGCTTCTTTAAAATCTGGTTCTGATTGTTATTGTGTGGCCTGATGCTAAAATGTTTTATCTTAAAATAAAAATAATAAAATAAAGTATAAAATAAAGGCAATGTTTTCCAATACTATACCTTGAATCTGTACTCTTGGCTTTTCTTAATATGTCTAAATTTTTCAATGAAATCAGAAAACTTCTCATGCACTTACTAAAAATTATGTATTCCCCTACAATACTCATAACCTTGAAAACACTTCCTGTGTGTGATTCAATTCAAGTACTTTTTTTCATGATGTTTAACTTCCAGGTTATCTAAATGGGCTTTCATTAAGGAAAATCAGTCACACTGAAAAAGATTTTTCTTTGCCTTTGTGGCAACTGACTTTAGAAAAAACAAGATTTTATATTTTATCAAAATGATTTCTATATTATTATTAGGTTTTTGTTTTCTTAAAACCCTAAGATTAAAAAGAGTTAAGGTTTTTATATCCATGTAACCTTATTCATTGCCTTAAAAGTCTTTTAACTATCAGACCCCTGATTCTGGGTGGGGGGGGTTTGTTTGTTTATTTATTTTTTGCTTTTTGTTTTTAAACAGGGTCTAGCTCTGTTGCCCAGGCCGGAGTGCAGTGGTGCAATCTCAGCTCACTGCAAACTCTGCCTCCCAGGTTCAAGTGATTTTCATGCCTCAGCCTCTTAGGTAGCTGGGATTACAGATATGCATTACCATGCCCAGACAATTTTTGTATTTTTAATAGAGATGGAATTTTGCCATGTTGGCCAGGCCCGTCTTGAACTCTTGGCCTCAAATGATCCACCTGCCTCAGTCTTCCAAAGCAAGTACTCAAAGTGCTGGGATTATAAGCATGAGCCACTGTGCCTAGCCTGTGATTCTGTCATGATCAAATGTTTTGAGCCTTTTAACATCTTTGACAAACGTCATCAGAAGTTAAATTCTTCTAAATTAAGTCTCTGATTTGTTGCTGAAACTTATCAAAAGTATAAAAATTAATAACTACAAGGTTGTGAAATATTTTTATGATTTCCAGTCAGGTCATGGACTCTAGTATTACTACCTTCACCCCCCTGAAAGGTTTCTTATTAGGTGCTATTAACTAATCCTTCTGCTGTAAAGTTACAGAGTCTTGACTCCTGGGCACACAAATGCCTTAGCGGCTGATGGCTCAACACATAAAACTTAAAGGCAAGTCAATTTTGTAACCTTGCTTTTTGACTTTTAGTGTGGGGCTCTTCTATTACTTAAAAGGGCTCTAATAGTTAACAAACACCTGCCCACCTTCATTCCTTTCTTGCCTAAAATGGTTAATTGGCTGTGAGTCTTTTGACTCTAAGTCTCTTGGCCATAGGGGTGCACAGGTAGCCACACCAGCCTGACATTGACGTGAGCCAAAATAAAACCTTGACCATTGATACTGCCTCTGGTATATCTTACTCAAAAAGAGATGGGGGGATACTGAGGGAATATATATTAAAAATTAAAATCCTAAAGCCTCCCCAACTTACTGGGCAGATCCACCTCCTTGACCAAGGGAGTCTCAGGAGAAAAATTTTCTACTTATCCAAATTTACAACATCACCATCGTGTGAAATTCATACCCTTTATTTATATAAAATGCCGACCATGTGCTTATATTGATCAGACTGAATATTGTTAGTAACTCCTAAATATTAAGTACATGATATAAATATCACAGAACTTATATTCTTCACATCAATGTTATCTAATACTATAAGTACCTTAAACCATGGTTCATACACATTTGATTTATTTCAAATATTTTATAAGTAGGCATTGAAAAAATATTCTGGTAGACAGAATATTATTTTTGAATTTTAGTGAATCTTTCAATCAAGATTCATCTGATTTTCTCAACTAGTAAGAGTACTTGAAAAATATGTTGTATATATTATATTTTCTTGAATTTAGCCTCAGTTCAAATGAGGCTAAAACTTTCAGGAACAAAATAACTTTATATAGATATATAGCTTTAATGGATTCCACAAATGTACAGAAGAACCAACTTTATTACAACCATTTGAGTACTTCTAAATAATTTAGCCCACTGGTTTCCTATGCACTAGGTAAAAATAATAGCAGATTCAAGGAAGGAAAAAGGCATTAGTGGCAATTAGACCTTTGGGAAATCTAAATATATTCAAATTAACATAGCTGTTATGAAGACAGACCAGTGTGTTTAAAGATTTAATCTCTATAAATGCTATTTAAAAATAAAAGTTTATCGAGTGATGTTCTAGTCAATATGATTCAGGTGGTTGGGCATGATATTTAGAAATAAAATTGTTCTCTGAAAAATGCTTCAAGAATCCCTGAAATAGAGATATCAAAGTGCAAAACCCTCGGGCTGGAAAATTAATGCTAATAAAGACTGGAAAAAACAGATCTCCATGCTATGAATGTTCATGCAAACAAGCGGAAAGAAGTGTGCCAGTCAGAAATTAAGGAATAACTTCACACAGCACTTTAAGTTCTAATTTAACATTTTGGAGACAAGAAAAATCAAGGCTCTAAACAAAAATTCAACAATCTCTTAGAAACCAGTACAAGAAACATTAAACTATATTGATAAACACTTATTTTTGATTAGTTGCCAAAAAGCAATTTTTTTTTTACTAAATACCACAAGAGAAAATTACCCTAAATCGTTACAAAAATGCAAATTTTTATACTAGGATAATATAACCACATAATAAGTATTTTATTTAATAGAAAAAATGTTCTTACCCGACTAAATAAAATATCCTGTGGACGTTTCCAGGAATACATTTTCAAGGATCGTGGCAACTCAATCTTTCCTTCAGGGTCCTCAAAAAAATGCTATGTAAAAATAAATTGAGCTTTTTCTTCATATTCTTTTGTTAAAATAAAAACAACTGAATTTTAATAAAAGAAGAATTAAGTACATAGATTCGGTCAATCAATAAGCCTTTACAAAGCAATTTGTGTTGCAAGACCTAATCCATGGAGTACTTAAAAAATACTGAATTCAACAAAACTGTATATAATTAACATATACTCATTGGTTACATGTAACATGCTCACTGATTGTTGAGTAGCATTTTGATTGTAGGGGAGGTAGCCCAAAGAAGCATAAGATACTTTGGAAAGTAAACTAGTTATGACAGGAAAACAATTTACGATTGGCCAGATATGGCCACATTCTCCATTAAAAAATTTTTTTTTACCTGAATGGAGAAGATTAAAAATATTTACTTAATTTCCAACGGTTAGAATCATAAACAAGATCATATTTAAATAAACTTGGATGTTTGACCTGATTTTCATTTAATTTTTCAAATTAATCTCTTTCCTTTGAAATAATTATAGATCCATATACAGTTGTATGAAATAATACAATGGATTCTTGTATTCCCTTTACCCAATTTCTCCAATTGTAACATCTTGTGTAACTGTAATACAGTATCGTAACCAGAATATTGACATTGACAGTCAAGATACAGAATAGTTTTATCACCACAAGTACTATTACTATACTTTTTCATAGCCACACCTATGCTCCCACTCCCCATCCTATACTTCATCCCTAACACCTGGCCACAACTCTATTTCTACAATTTTGTCATTATATACTGAATGTCTATACAACATTCAGCAATGTTATGCAGATGTAAATCATAGCATTTGTGGTATGATTCTAAGGAAGCATGAAATATCTTGGATTGGCTTTTCTTCTATCAGGGTAATTCTCAGGAGAGTCATCCAAGTTGTTTCACATATCAATAGTTTGTTCTTGTTTATTGCTAAGTAATATTTCATATATAGACATTTGTTTGTTCACCAATTGTTTATTGAAGAACATCTGGGATGTTTCCAGGGTTGGGCTATTACCAATAAAGCTGCTGTGGACATCTGCATAACAAAGTTTCCATTTATCTGGGATACATGCCCAAGAATGCAATTAATTCATTCATTCTTGAACTCATTACAGGTCAATTAATGAGCTCTGGAGAAAAAAATTGTATCCAAATGCATACTCTAGCATTAAAAAATGCATACTCTAGCATATAAAAAAATTATATCCAAATGCTAGTAATCTAGGAAGTTCGAAATGCTTCAGACGAATGCTATGTAAGATTCTCAGAATTTATGGGACACTGGGAAAAAAAGATCCTTACAAAAAAATAACATTAAAATTGCCAGGTTATAAATGAAATGCTTGAGAAATATAAACTAACTGTACAGGTAAAAGAGCAGCTAAGTTTCACCTGAGTTAATAAGGACAGGAAGAAATAAATATGGTTTTGTGATTTTCATAGTAATCACGTTTTTACCCCAAGGCTGGTGTGGCCTGAGAAACAGATGGTATTTGAGGGCATGTGCACAGTTTGAACACTATTTTTTTTTATTTTTAATTTTTTATTGCATTTTAGGTTTGGGGGTACATGTGCAGAACATGCAAGACAGTTGCATAGGTACACACATGGCAGCGTGTTTTGCTTCCTTTCTCCCCTTCAACCACATTTGGCATTTCTCCCCAGGCTATCCCTCCCCACCCCCCCTCCCACTGGCCCTCCCCATTTCCCCCCAATAGACCCCAGTGTTTAGTACTCTTCTCTCTGTGTCCATGTGTTCTCATTTTTCATCACCCACCTATGAGTGAGAATATGCGGTGTTTCGTTTTCTGTTCTTGTGTCAGTTTGCTGAGGATGATGTTCTCCAGATTCATCCATGTCCCTACAAATGACACAAACTCATCATTTCTGATTGCTGCATAATATTCCATGGTGTATATGTGCCACATTTTTCCAATCCAGTCTATCATCAATGGGCATTTGGGTTGATTCCAAGTCTTTGCTATTGTAAACAGTGCTGCAATGAACATTCGTGTACATGTGTCCTTATAGTAGAACGACTTATAGTCTTTTGGATATATACCCAGTAATGGGATTGCTGGGTCAAATGGAATTTCTATTTCTAAGGCCTTGAGGAATCGCCACACTGTCTTCTACAGTGGTTGAACTAATTTACATTCCCACCAACAGTGTAAAAGTGTTCCTTTTTCTCCACATCCTCTCCAGCATTTGTTGTCTCCAGATTTTTTAATGATCGCCATTCTAACTGGCGTGAGATGGTATCTCAATGTGGTTTTGATTTGCATCTCTCTGATGACCAGTGACGATGAGAATTTTTTCATATGATTGTTGGCCTCATATATGTCTTCTTTCGTAAAGTGTAGTTTGAACACTATTAAGTATATACGTTTATCTGAAAGATATAGTTTATTGTCAGCTTTAAGATATTGGAATAATTTGAATGAAAACAAAGGGTATGTTAACATCCAAGCAAGATTCTCAAAAAGTGAGTCATCGAAAAATTGACTGAATTTCCAGGACCTGTTGCTACACTTCTGGAGTTTCCACACATCATTTCCCCCTCCTTTGTTGCAAATATTTAGTTGTTTTAAAGTCCCTTATCTAACAATTCCAAAATCTAAGATGTTCATGGATCAATTCCTATTATTTGATTTAATCTTGATTTTCAGTCACTTGGTTCTGTTTCTTTTCATATCGGGTAATCAAAAAAAAAAAAACCTTTTATTTTAGAAGTGGGGGTATATGAGAAGGTTTGTTACATAGGTAAACTCATGCCACAGGGGTTTGTTGTACAGATTTTCATCATCCAGGTATTAAGCCTAGTACCCAATAGTTATCTTTTCTGCTCCTCTCTTTCTTCCCAGCCTCCCTCATCAAGTAGACCCCAGTGTCTATTGTTTCCTTCTTTGTGTTTATAAGTTGTTATGATTAGCTCCCACTTAGAAATGAGAACATGTGGTATTTGGTTTATTGTTCCTGCATTAGTTTACTAAGGATAATGGCCTCCAGCTCCATCCATTTTCCTGCAAAGAACATGATCTAGTTCTTTTATGTGGTTGCATAGTATATACGTAATACATGGTGTATATATATCCATGGTGCATATGTGCCACATTTTCTTTATTCAACCTGTCATTGATGGGTATTTAGGTTGCTTTCATGTCTTTGATATTGTGACTAGTGCTGCAATGAACATTCACTGGCATGTTTCTTTAAGGCAAAATGATTTATGTTCCTCTGGGTATACAGCCAGTAATAGGATTGCTGGATCTAATGGCAATTCTACTTATACCTCTTTAAGGAATCGTCACAGTGCTTTCCACAATGGTTGAACTTTCCCACCACGGTGTATAAGCATTCCCTTTTCTCTGCAACCTCACCAGCATCTGTTAGTTTTTGGATTTTTTTTTTTTTTTTTTTTTTTTTTTGAGACAGAGTTTTGCTCTTGTTACCCAGGCTGGAGTGCAATGGTGTGATCTCGGCTCACTGCAACTTCCACCTCTTGGGTTCAGGCAATTCTCCTGCCTCAGCCTCCTGAGTAGCTGGGATTACAGGCACACGCCACCATGCCCAGCTAAGCTTTTTGGATTTTTAGTAGAGACAGGGTTTCACCATGTTGACCAGGATGGTCTCGATCTCTTGACCTCGTGATTCACCCGCCTCGGCCTCCCAAAGTGCTGGGATTACAGGCTTGAGCCACCGCGCCTGGCCAATTGGATTTTTAATAATAGTCATTCTGACAGGTGTGAGATGGTGTGTGACTGTGGCTTTCATTTGCATTTCTCTAATAATCAGTAATATTGAGCTTTTTTTTTCATATGCTTCCTGGCTGCATGTATATCTTCTTTTGAGAAGTGCATGTTTGTTCATGTCATTTGTCCACTTTTAAATGTGGCTGCTTGTTTTCCTCTTGTAAATGTGTTTAAGTTCCTTATAGATGCTGGATATTAGATCTGGGTCAGATGTACAGTTTGCAAACATTTTCTCCCATTCTGTAGTTTGTCTGTTTACTCTGTTGATAGTTCCTTTTGCTGTGCAGAAGCTCTTAAATTTAATTACATCCATTTGTCAGTTTTTGCTTTTGTTGCAATTGCTTTTGGTGGCTTTGTCATGAAATCTTTGCCCATTTCTATGTCCAGGATGGTATTGCCTAGGTTGTCTTTCAGGGTTTTTATAGTGTTGAGTTTTACATTTAAGTCTTTGTTTCATTTCCAGTTGATTTTTGTGTATGATGTAAGAACAGGGTCCAGCTTCAATCTTCTGCATATGGCTAACCAGTTATCTCAGCACCATTTATTGAATGGGGAGTTTTTTCCCCATTGCTTGTTTTTGTCAGCTTTGTGAAAGATCAGATGGGCACAGATGTATGGCCTTATTGATGGCTCTCTACTGTGTCTCATTGCTCTATGTGCCTGCTTTTGTATCAGTATCATGATGTTTTGGTTCCTATAGCCTTGTTTAATAGTATAAAGTCAGGTAGCATGATGCCTTTTTCTTTTATTTCTTTTCTTTTTTCTTTCTTTCTTTTTCTTTTTTTTTTCTTTTTTTTTTTTTTGCTTAGGACTGACTTTCTATTCAAACTCTTTTTGGGTTCCATATGAATTTTTTAGAATAGTTTTTTCTAGTTTGTGAAGAATGTCATTGGGAGTTTCATAGGGATAGCATTGAATCTGTAAATTGCTTTGGACAGTATAGCTTTTCAATGATATTGATTCTTCCTATCCATGAGCATAGAATGTTTTCCCATTTGTTTCTGTTTGAGCAATTTTGTAGTTCTCCTTGTAAAAATCATTTATCTTCCTCATTAGCTATATTCCTAGGTATTTTATTCTTGTTGTGTCAGTTGTGAATGAAATTGCCTTTCTGATTTGCCTCTCATTTTGGCTATTGTTGGGGTATAGTAATACTAGTGGTTTCTATACATTGAATTTGTATCTTGCAACTTTGCTGAAGTTGTTTATCAGCTGCAGGAGCTTTTGGGACAAGACTACGGGGTTTTCTAGATACAGAATTATGTCGTCTTCAAACAGAGATAGTTTGACTTCCTCTCTTTTTATTTTAATGCACTTTACTTCTTTCTCTTGCCTAATTGCTCTGGCTTGGTCTTCCAATACTATGTTAAATATAAGTGGTGAGAGAGGACATCCTTGTGTTGTGGTGGTTTTCAAAGGGGAATGCTTCTGGCTTTTGCCTATTCAATATAATATTGGCTGTTGGTCTGTCATAGAGGGTTCTTATTATTTTGATGTATGATCCTTCAATATCTAGTTTATTGACAGTTTTTAAGATGAAGCAGTGTCAGATTTTATCCAAAGTCTTTTCTGCATCTATTTAGATATTCATGTGGTTTTGTCTTTAGTTTTGTTTATGTGATGAATGACACTTATTGATTTGTATATGTTGAGCCAAACTTGCATCCTGGGGATGAAGCCTATTTGACCACGGTGGATTAGCTTTTTGATGTGCTGGTGGATTCGGTTTGCAAGTATTTTGTTGAGGAATTTTGCATTGATGTTCATCAAGAATATTGGGCTGAGGTTTTCTTTTTTGTGTGCGTCTCTGCCAGGTTTGTTATCAAGATGTTGCTGGCCTCATAGAATCACTTGGGGAGGAGTCCCTCCTCAATTTTTTAGAATAGTTTCAGTAGAAATGGTACCAGCTCATCTTTCTGCATCTGGTAGAATTCAGCTGTTAATCCAACAAGTCCTGGGCTTTTGTTTGGTTGGTAGGACCTTTATTACTGATTCCATTTCAGAGTTTTCTCTCCTGGCTCAGACTCAAGAGGGTGTATGTGTCCAGGAATTTATCTATATCTTCTAGGTTTCCTTGTTTGTGTGCATAGAGGAGTTTGCAGTTGTTTCTAATAGTTGCTTTCATTTCTGTGGAGTCAGTAGTATCATTCCCTTCATCATTTCTAATTGTGTTTATTTGGATCTTCTTTCTTTTCTTTATTATTAGTCTAGCTAGTGGCCTATTTATTAATTTTCAAGAAAATAATTCCTGGATTCATTGATCTTTTAAATGAAAAATCTTTTTTCATTTAAAATGATTTAATTAAAAATCATCTTTTTTCATTAAAATGATCTTTTAAATGGTTTTTCATGTCTCAATTTCCTTCTGTTCAGCTCTAATTTTCATTATTTCTCATCTTCTGCTAGCTTTGGGATTAATTTGTTCTTGATTCTCTAATTATTTCAATTGTGAAGTTAGGTTATTAATTAACAATATGGAACTCTTCACGGATTTGTGTGGCATGCTTGTGCAGGATCCTTCCAATTTTAGTATATGTGCTGCTGATGTGAGCACTGTATGCTCATTTTGCATCCTGAAACTTTGCTGCAGTTGTTTATCATCTGAAGAAGCATTTGGTCTGAAACTATAGGGTGTTCTAGATATAGGATGCCATCTACAAACAGAGATAGTTGACTTCCTCTCTTCCTATTTGGGTGCCTTTATTCCTTTTTCTTACCTGATTTCTCTGGCAAGGACTTTCAATACTGTGTTGAACAGGAGTAGTGAGAGAGGGCATCTTTGTCACCTACCAGTTTTCAAAAGGAATGCTTCCAGCTCTTGCTATTCAGTATAAAGTTGGCTGTGGGTTTTTCCTAGACAGCTCTTTTTATTTAGAGGTTTGTTCCTTCAATATCTAGTTTATTGAGAGTTTTTAACCATTTTCCATTTGCTCCTGAGAATATTCACCAGCAGTGGTTGCAGCTGCAGTGTATATCCCAAAATAAAACACAATGTTTGGTAAAAGAAATTCTTTCACCACCTCTATTAAATCATTGAATTATATCCCGTTCAAGAAGGACAATCCTGAGCACAAGATTAGCCATGTAAACTTGAGACTGCCATCGATTGAAAGAATGCTGGAAAAGCATCTCAAGCCAGGGCAGAATATCTTTAAGGTCACCCATGCGCATTGATGATGCCATACCTCTTCACCTGTCTGGAAAACACTTCACCCAAAAGCCTACTACTAACGTCAGGGAAATGAAATTTAAGTTTGCTACCTGCACAACAGAAGGAATGGCAAGAGGATCTGAAGAGAAATGCATTCTTTTTGTTCAGTATGTGATGCTCCAATTTGTGTTGTTCTGTGCTTTGAAATTTATCACATAAAAAATTATTAAATACTGATTATCATATACATTTCTGTTATGTTAAGATTTGAGACAAGTTCTGTTTAGAAATAACTCCAAGAACAGTTTTAAGTTTTATTTTTACGTTGAAAATCAGTCAGATTTGCTTCAACCTCAAAGAGGATGTTTATGTAAAATTAAATGAACATTGGCAACAAGCTGTACTTTTTTGTAAATGGAAAAGGGTTAACATGAAGGGGTGTTGAATTCATCAAAAGTTGTTTCTGAATCTATTGAGATAATTATGTGGTTTCTGTCTTTAGTTCTGTTCATTTGATGAATGATGTTTATTGATTGGCAACTGCTGAACCACCCTTGCATTCTGGGAGTGAAGCCTACTTGATTATGGTGGATTAGCTTTTGATGTGCTGCTGGATTTCCTTGGCAAGTATTTTGTTGAGGATTTTTGCATCAATGTTCATCAAAGATATTGGCCTAAAGTTTTTTGTTGTTGTTGTGACTGCCATGTTTTATTATCCAGATAATGATGTTCTCATGGAATGAGCTTCGGAGGAGTGTCTCCTCCTGATGTTTTCATGGAATGAGCTGTGGAGAAGTGTCTCTTCCTCAATTTTTTGAAATAGTCTCAGTAGTAATGATACCAGCTTGTCTTGTGCATCTGGCAGAATTCACATGCTTAATAATTTTTGATTGAATGATATACATTGAGTATAAAAATCAATATGGGTTCTAGATAATGATGTCTTCTTCTGGAGAGGAGAATTTTATTTCTTTTTGGCAGACAGAGTACAAGATGTACTTAACTCGGTCAACACTGGGGTTCAGAATTTGGTAGGGTTGGTGTAACTTTGGTTTGCCCTTACTTCATAGAGAATGCTATAGTCAGTCTGGTGCACGCTCTAAAAAAGTTGGAGTATTTATTGGGGTCCCTTCACCTTGATGTATCCTAAATTCTAATTTTTCTCCAAAGCACCATGAAATCTTTTAAAATTTCCCCTTCAAGCTGCTGCTGTTTACTCATTTGCTCAACAGCTTATCCTTCATACATAGTTTAGGAGTTGAGTAAATATCTTAAAATTATATGCAAAATCGCTTCTCTGCCATTAGCCCTGGGGATTTAGTTCAAGTTTGGATTGCTTTAGCAGCCCTACACAATATCCTCTGTCTCTCCAGCTGAAGAAACTGACACTAGTCCTAGGACACTACTTTCTTCTTGATTCCTAATCTTCATGCCTTGATAGATTTGGGCCTCCTACATTAAGAAGTTCAGGGTAATCTTTCCACATCATTTTTCTTTAGCTGTGTGCCTTATAATGACCTTACAGTACTGCATAATATATTCACAATTTGATTCACCCATCACATCCTTTAGTTCTCATCACTTAGCTGAAGAAATGAGATCTTTCTCTGGACTTAAAGGGAAGGGTGAAGTCAGCTGAGGCTGATTTCCTGATGACTAGCCTTACATATAGGGAAATGATCTTCTGCAAAACTCCAAGGATACTTGCTATATAGTTGGATGCTTAAGGAAATTGATCTTGGTAAAACATGGATGCTGCAAATGAGGGCTAAGAGCTACCGCGCAACCATGTCACGCAGATGCAATCACAAGGCTTGGACACTGTCCACCACTCACTCCAGTGGAAGAGCTGCTGCTTCATGAGCCAGGGATGAGATTGTGACAAAACTGGAAGTGGAAAGTAAGGTTCTATCCTAGATTTGACCACTTTACATTTTGGTTTGGTGCTTTCCTACTTTTGAAAGCTATAGTGGCAGAGCAGAATGTTGGCTAAGGTTCTCAGTTGTCACATTTCAATGGGTAGGCCCTGTTCGCAGCAAGAGTTGGCCTTGTGCTTTTTTTAACCATTGTGTTTTATAAAGCTCCTTGGTCCAAGGGCCACAGTATCTACTTTGGAGTCCAGTGTCAGGTAGTCTCATTTGTATATGTTACCCCCAAAAGAAATGGACATCAGGTAACCAGTACACTTGCTACTGCTCCAGTGTCGCTGATTTCCCTCTAAAAAATTATGATCATCCAATACACTTGACCTTGCTTTTTGTTGTTGTTGTTGTTTGTTTTTTTAACAGAGTCTCACCCTGTTGCCCAGGCTGGAGTGTAATGGTGCATTCTCAGCTCACTGCAACCTCTATCTCCCAGGTTCAAATGATTCTCCTTCCTCAGCCTCCTAAGTAGCTTGGATTACAGGTGCCTGCTACCACACACAACTAACTTTTGTATTTTTAGTAGAGATGAGGTTTCATCATGTTGGCCAGGCTGGTTTGAACTCCTAACCTCGTGATCTGCATACCTCTGCCTCCCAAAGTGCTGGTATTACAGGCGTGAGCCACCGTGCTTGGCTTGCCCTTGGTTTAATAACTCTGATAAATCCCAGAATTTAGCATCCGACCTTCCAGAAATTTGCATTTTTTTCAGTCATCTGATGAAGGCATCCTTGCACTCCAAGCTCCCTAAAAAGTTATTTTTACATCATATTTCAAAAATTTCAAGCACTTTTGCCCTTTCCCTCTGTGTAGTTTCTCCAGACTTTGGAGTGACTCATCTCTAGAACTTTTCCAGAGCTCAACTGCTCAACTGACAATTTGCACACTCTATCCTTATCCTTCTGATATAAAATCTAAAGGCTAAAGACACACTCGCTCTCTCTCTTTTTCTCTCTTTCTCTCTCTTTCTCTCTCTCTTTCTCCCCCCCTTCTCTCTCCTTAAGTTTTGAATCACTGATTAAAAAAAACATAAAATATGCCAATTTTCATTAGAATCCATAGAATTCAAAGCCTTATGCATCTATAGGTTCCATTCGATGTGGTACAAATAATTTGTTCCCTTACCTGTTACTAATTTGGAAATTGTTCATGTACTAACGGAGTCAGCAATATCTTCATTAGGTATCTTTTGTGAACAAATCGACCAATATGAATCAATATTTTGTGAACCAAATTTACATAAGTTTTACTATTTTGGAATGCTTTATGCAAATTTCAACTAAACCATTCTGGCAATTATGTTTGTGTTTTGAAAATTATATTGTGTTCTATAAATATTTGTTAATGAATTGTTGCACCAAATAAACAGGTCATATTTTAAATGCAATTCAGACCCATAGCCTCAACTTCAAAGTCATTAGAAATAAACATTTTTAATAGGCAAATAACCTAAAGTAATATAATTAGAAAATGTAGAAATTCTACATAGCGCCAATCTTAGGGACATGCCATGTTTATGTGACAAAAAGTAAATGAAGAGCAATGAGGATCTTTATTCACATATCTTGAGGAGATAGTAGGAGGAACCCAGTTTTCATCTCACAGTAACATTTCTTTTAAAAATTATCTTTCCTATTATCTCCAGGTCACAACTTACAAGTCCATTGTGGATTCTCATTTTCTAAACCACTCTTTATAAATGCCTGTTTCCAAACTCTGTCCAAAGTCCATTGGCTAACTTGCCCTCTCTCTTAGTTTTTCCTTTATTTCATTATGATTCTTTGTTCATGCCTCTTTCTTCCAATTTATCCAAATATGATTCACCAAAGCTCAGGACTAAGGCTTCGAAAGACAAAGTAAGAGAGTTGGGAGGTGGGGCCGAAAGACAAATTAAAAACTTCCCTTTTGAACAGAGATAGTGGAGAAGAATGAATACCCTCTTATGCTTACAAATCTTATTCCATTATAAAATTAAAAATCTAAATGAAACTTTGTCACGTTTGCGTCTACTTACAAATACTGGGCTTTTTCCTGTTTTGTCCTTTTCTTTTGCACCTTTGCCTGCATCCCACTTTTCTGAATTGATGTCAGCTTCACTCCACTCTGGCCAGATTGGGAATTTCCCCTTCTTTTGTTCACTAGAACCAGAGTGTATGTTACTGCCAAAAGGATAGACACTAGACAGAAACAGAGACAGAGAGTGGGTGGTTTAGGTTTAATTAAAATACCTGAGATCAAATATTGAATTAACTATATAACATAAATTTAATTGTCTTCTCAGCTGAGTCATATTAACTACATTTTTAATACAATCATACTTGTGGCTAGACAGCTTCTACATGTTAAAATAATCCCAAAGAGATTATTTTAAAAGCTAATGTGGAGCCTTAGTTCCTACTTACTGATGCAAGAATTTAAAAAAGATATAATGTGTTATGAAATATCATAAACATAAATAACACAGAGTTGATAAATAGCTATCTTCTCAGACTAATATATAGACTACCATGTATATATCTGTCAGTCTACATATATTTTTTCAAAAATTAAATCATTCTGCATATACTTTGTATAGACTGCTTTTTACCACTTATCAGCATATTGTTAATATTTCTCATGCTCTAAATATTTATCTAAATGCTAATTTAAGGATTGTATAAGATCCCCTTGTATGAATATGCCACATTTCATTTAACTAAGCTTCCATATTTGGAAATTTGGGGGGGTTGATTTTTAAAATTTTTCACTTTCATAAACAAGTCTATGGTGGTTGTTCTTACTGCAAAACCTTTATGTACATTTGCAATTGTTTTGTTAGAATAGATGTTAATGAGAAGTCTTACTATGCCAAAGTGTATGCATATTTAAGGTTTGTTATAGATTTCGACTAAGTCTCAACTTTAAAAAGTGAGCTTGTTTTCTACTTTAAGCAAATGTGTTATAGTTACCATGCTGCTAATCCTTGAATACGACTTTTTGTTCATTTTCATGATTTTTAAACTCTAAAATAGGAATATTATTTAATTTTCAAGTTTTTAACTACTTGTGATGCTAGAACCCTGCCTATAGACCATGGGATAGACAGTTATAAAACCCAAACTAAAATCTCTAGACAGCCTATATTCTAGTGGGTTCTAGATAAAAATTAAATATCATAAATTAAGTAAAATATACAGTTTACAGTAACACATTGCTTAACAACAAGGATACATTCTAAGAAATCCATTGTTAGGCAATTTTGTTGCCTAGTAAGCACACTGTGCAAACCTAGTAAGCACACTACACAGCTGGTATCTTGTGCTGCACAGCTAGGCTCTATGGGACAGTGTATCTCCTAGGCTATAAACCTGTACAGCTGTTACTGTCCTGAATACTGCAGACAATCGTAACACAATGGTAAGCATCTGTGTATGTAAACACATCTAAACATAGAAAAATACAGTAAAAACATGCTATAAAAGATAAAACAGAATGGTAAACCTGTATAGCACACTTACCATGTATGGAGCTTGCAGGACTGGAAGTTGCTTTTAGTGAGTAAGTGACTGGACGGTGACTGTGAAGGCCTGGGACATTACTGTTATGCTACTGCAGATGTTATAAATATTGTACACTTAGGCTACATTAAATTCGTAAAAACAATTTCCTTCTTCAACAATAAATTAGCCTTAGCTTACTAGATGACCCCTCTCATATATGACCAAAATGTTGTTATGAGATGTGTGACTGTATTCAAACATGTAACTCCGAAGGGGAAATGAAACACAGTACAGGGGAACCGACGAGTTAAGGTACTCAATTTCCAAAACAGTGGTTAAGGAAAATGTCTATAGTAAGATAACATCTAAATAATGAAAGAAAGTGAGGGATCAAACTGTGACTATCCATCAAAGAATGCTCCAGATACAGGATACAGGAAGGAGGAATATTCCAGATGCAGGGAGCATCCTGGCTTAGTTTAATAATAATGTGGAGGTCAGTGTGCCTTAAGCTGTGTGAGTGGGAGGAAAAGTAAAGGAAGATGATCGCAGAGAGGTACTAGATGTGAAGACTGTCAAGGTGATCTAAGCCAGGGGAAGGGTCGTTACTGTGAGTGAGATAGGAAGCCAAAGGAGGGTTCTGAGCAGGAGCACAAAACGATATTATTAGAATTTGATGATCACTCTTGCTGCTATGTAGAGAAAAATAACCCAAAGAAACAAGGGAGACAATATAGAAGGCTTTGAATTAACAGGAGAGAGCGAATGGGGTTTTGGACTGGCTTCATAACTGAAGAGAAGGCAAGATATAAATTCTGTGTATACTTTAAGATAGAGAAAGCCGATAGAGTTGATATTTCCTTATAGACAGAAGATCACGGTATGGGGAAAAACTGAATCAGGGGCATAAAGCAGCAGCACACTGATAAATGAGATTGTACTTGAGATGCCAAAAATGTAACCTTGGGGATACTGAGTAGGTAATTAGATGTCAGATTCTGAAGTTTGGGAGAAAAACTGGACAAGTGAAACTCAGAGGCATCAACATCTAGCTGGTATTTAAAGTCTTAAGACTGGATGAAATCATCAAGAAAATAACTCCTTAAGAAAGAGACACACCCAGAGATGATAACAAATGGTGTAGATTGAGCAAGAACAAATTCTAAATGGACCCTGAACACAATGCTGGGTCAGTGTCTTCAAAGCCTCTAACTAAGCAAGACATTTATTTTGTATTTTATGTAGCAAGAGCAAAGATGTAAATTCCTCAGGGCAAGTCAGGGATCCAGGTCAAAAGGCAGAAATGTCTGAAACTCACAGTTATTGGTAATTGTTAAGAATACCTACTGAGAAATATAAAAATATTTCAACACTTTAGTAATCAACAGAGCTGTATTTCTGCCCTGGTTCTCTAGATGTAAGGGTCAAAGAGATAAGGAGGAAATAACTGTGAAAACTGAGAAAAGAAAGCAGTCATTGAATGTGGTAAACAGAATAACTACCAACCCCTACGTCAAATACATACACATCATAGTCCCTGGAACCTGTGGATATGTTACCCTCCATGGAAAAAGGAAGTTTGTAGATATGATTAAGTATCTTGAGATGGGGGGATTATCCTGGATTATCTGGGGGTCCCAGTGTAACCCAAAGAGTGATCAAAAGTGGAAGAAGGAGTTGGAGGAAGTTAAAGAGAAAAGTGACTACTGAAGAAAGCAAAAAGGGAAAATTGCTGCATTTGGAAGACAGAGAAAAGTGGCCACAAGCCAAGGTATGTGGTCAGGCTCCAGAAGCTGGAAAGGCAAGAAATGGATATTTTCCTAGAGCCTACAGAAAGGAAGGCAGCCCTGCTGCAACCTCGTTAATAGCTCAGTGAGAACCATTTTGGATTTGTGACCTCCAGAATTCCAAATAAATTTGTCAATGAGTTTGTGTGGTTTGAAGCAACTAATTTTGTGATATTTTAGTATAGCTAAGTTCCACAAGAAACTAATACAGCGAGGTAGGGAAAACATAGTCGAAGGAAATACCTTGGAAATCAAGTGAAGCATTTTTCTTTTTTCCAAAAACGAGGACATGAGCAGGAGACATAAATGCAGCTAACAGATCAAGCAAGATAAAGTGAAAACAACTAGATGTTGAATTTAGCAACAAGAAAACGTCTCTCAAATATCACCTCCTGGAGGTGGGGTTGGAGGAGGATTTTCCTGAACACCCCATTATAGTAAGACACACTTCTCTACATCCTTTCATATTGCTTCATTTTTATACCACTCAATACTGTCACTGATCCTTTATGTGCTCATCATATGCTTCTGCAGGTAGGATTTTTAAACTCTACTGTGGTATGAACACTGGATTTTTTGTTCACTTCCTCCGTCTCCAGTAACTTGGACAGTATCTGGACAAAGTAAGAAATCTATCTCTCTAACATCTATTAATATGAAATGAAACAATGAATACCTATAATTTACATTGCTGATAATATCCAATAGAAACTGTGTCAAATTTTTATAATTCTCTCTCTCTTCCTGCTTAATGTCTGTCTGAGTCCTATGAGGACATCTTACAAAATGGTGATAACTCAAAAGGATTCAAGAACTCTTATTCAGCACATACAAAGCCAGAGCTACACACCTGATCACACTCTGGTATGAATGAGAAATATACTTTTGTAGTGTTAAGTCACTGAGATTTGGTTTATTGATACTATAGCACTGGATCATATAAAGAGTGAAATTATACTCTTAAGATTTCCTCTTTCATATCTTTAATCACTATAAGCACTTGTATGTTATATTAGATTATTCTTCCATTATCTTAAATTTGCAACATTCGATTCTCTTGTTTGTTGTGACATCTGCCTATATTTTGTATATTCTCTGTTATGAGCTCATCCTTTCTTCTCCTCCAATCCTCTTCCTCCAAGGCAATCCTGTGTTGAGATGTTCTTTCAAAATCATATTGAGGTTTCTTTTTTTTTTTTGGCTTTAATTTCTGGGGTACATGTGTAGATTGTGCAGGTTTGTTGCAGAGGTATACACATGCCATGGTGGTTTGCTGCATTCATCCCCCCATCATCTACATTAGGTATTTCTCCTAATGTTATCCCTCCCCAATCCCGCATCCCCTTCTATCCCTCACCTAGTCCCCCTCCCCACAATAGGCCCTGGTTTGTGATGTTCTCCCCACTGTGTCCATGTGTTCTCATTGTTCAACATCCACTTATGAGTGAGAACATATGGTGTTTGGTCTTCTATTCTTGTGTCAGTTTGCTAAGAATGATGGATTCCAGCTTCATCCATATCCCTGCAAAGGACATGAACTCATCCTTTTTTATGGCTGCATAGTACTCCATGGTGTATATGTGCCACATTTTCTTTATCTAATCTGTCATTGACAGGCATTTGGGTTGGTTCCAAGTCTTTGCTATTGTAAACAGTGCTGCAATAAACATACATGTGCATGTGTCTTTATAACAGAATGATTTATAAACTTTTGGGTATATACCCAG